TATCCCAATTTGTGCTCCATATTTAAATTTATTAAATTTTCATTGGATAATTGGAACAAATGAGATGTTTTCTTCTTTGTGTTATTCTCTTCTTTGTATATCTTGTTTGTGTTAAAAATTTTGATCGAGACTTGGAGCAAAGTCAGCAAACAACATTTTTCTAAATCTGTTTTTTAAAATTTCAGTTTTAATTATTTTTTTACAAACGAAGAACTGATTTTTTATGTAAGTCAATGAACTGTCTTTTAATAAAAAAATTTACCAAGTAAATCTACATTTATGTATTAATCATATCTACAATTATTAAATATTACTTTTTGTACTAAATAAATTTGTAATTTTTTTTACTAATTGTTAAGTCTGCATTTTTTTACTAATTATACTTCTAGGTGACGTGCAATTCGGTTTTTAATAACCGACCGAAATTGGGTTGGTTTAGTCGGTTTCGGTTTCTCGGTTATTCAAACACACCGGTTCGGTTTCGGTCGGTTTTTTTATACCAAAAAAAAATTCGGTTAGTTCGGTTTTGGCCCGAAACTGACTGAACCGACCCGATGCCCACCCCTACTCTCAGCCCACATTTCCCAATTATTTATGAAAAACAGTTAAACCAGGCCTGTTTAATAAAATGGAGGAATAAAAGAATATTCCTCCGTATATGCTCCAGCTACTCCTATAAAAGGAGGGCTCCCCCTCAATGTTAAAGGAGGCCTCTCTCCTCTCTCTCCCCTGTCATATATTATTTATCTCTCTAGAAAGTTGTTAGAGTATACATTTTTCTTCTTCTTCAAGGGCTTCTAGCTCCACCATTAATGGCTTCCTAGCCTAATTCATGTACCACGTACACACCCTCGATATTAATAAAAATCCCCCGTTGGCAAGGTACCGCCAAAAAAGGCCGTGGTTTTCTCCCGATTTGGGTTTCCACGTAAAAATCCTCGTGTTTATATTTTGGTGTATTTTTTAGACTAGTTAATCGTTTTTGCCCGACTAAAAACGATATACCGGTCGATAATTTACACCATCAAGACGAATCAATTCCTATCAAAGTTCTTTTGGCTACAAAATAAATAAATAGTAGGGGGCAGATCAAAATTCAATGTACGTCTGTGTGTCTTGTCTGCTAGTGTGTTCTTTCTTGTAATTTAAGGTAGGATAAAAAATTATATTTAGCTCAATTGGATGACCATTACATTTTTTGCAATATAGGGGTTGAAGAATATAAATAGTACAGCAAGCATGTGTGGGTAACAAAGTGAATATTATTTATTCCTTCTACATACCTCCCTATTTGCAAATATTTATTTCCATCTTCTACCTCGTTTTTTCTCCCATTTATTTTTCTAGGTACATATCTTTCCTTATATTGCAAAAAAATGATCAGGATAGAATATGAACCCTACATAAGAATATTTGCCAAATAAAATGGCTAGTATGACAACCAAGAGACTTGAAAAGATTCTCCAGCGGAAGAAAGAATCTGATAAACCAAAATATAAGCGGAAGCGATTTTTATTCAAATAAGATTCGCAGAGAGGATGAATCGAAAACAACCACTTTAAATTTCTTGGAAACTATTTCTAGTTCCATAGCTTCACAACTGGCTTTTCTTTTTTTCAACATTGGCCTCTTTGGTGTAAGTTTGTGGATACATAAAAATTTCGAAAAACAGAAGAATAAATTACAGTTTGGCGCCACCCGTGGGACCGTGATTCTTCTATTTTGCAAAATTTTTATGTATCCATAAGTTTACACCAAAGAGGCCAATGTTGAAAGAAGAAATGCTAGTTGTGAAGCTATGGACCTCGAAATAGTTCCCAAGAAATTTAAAGTAGTTGTTTTCCAATTCATCCTCTCCGCGAATCTTATTTGAAGAAAAATCGGTCCCGCTTGAATTTTTGTTTATTAGATTCTTCCGCTAGGAGAATCTTATCAAGTCTCTTGGTTGTCATACTAGCCATTTCATTTGACAAGTATTCTTGTGTAGGGTTAATATTTTATCCTGATCATTTTTTTGCAATATAAGTAAAGATATGTAACTAGAAAAATAAATGTGAGAAGAAACGAGATAGAAGATAGAAATAAATATTTGCAAATAGGGAGATATGTAGAAGGAATAAATGATACGTAGTATTCACTTTCTTACCCACACAGGCTCGCTGTACTATTTGTATTCTTCAACCCCTATATTGCAAAAAATGTAATAGTCATCCAATTGAGCTAAATATAATTGTTTATCCTACCTTAAATTACAAAAAAGAACACACTAGCAGACAAGACGGAACATACGTTATTCATTGAATTGTAATCTGCCACCTACTATCTACCCCCTCCGTCCGGATTTTAAGTTCCCATTTTGACTTTTGGTCATTTTTATGGGAAGTTGACTTTGAATACAATTTGTCCAAAATGCCCCTAGCCTTCTCTGCTGCAAGTCCAATTTCAATTTACTGTGCCTGCGTTTTTTCCAATGGAACAAAAAAACAATGGACGCCGCCGGCAAAGGTGAATCTCCGCCCTAAATCAATGGACGCGGAAATGGATCTCCAGATCCGCTCATATGGAGTACGGGCTTCAATTAACTCCTCTGCACAACTTCAATCGAATCCTCTTCTCTGATCTGCGCAGGATCGGAAAACAATAGGACGTATCGCGTTCTTCCAGATTGTAAAAAAACAAGGGGCTTCAAGAAAAAGAATGAAAAGAAGAAAAGGAGGAGAAGGGGGAGGGGGGGAGAAAGAGGGAAGATGATGACTAGATCTAGTCGAGAAAAGAAAGGGGAGAAAGAAGAAGAAGAGGGGGGGAGGAGGGCCCAACGGCGGATCTAGAAATTCAGGTAGATGGAGGCACAAATGGTCGGGGCAACGCCCCTGATTTTTTTAAAAAAATAGACAATTTGAAATGAAAAAAATAATAAATTTTATTTTAAACATTTATTGAATGTAAATTTTTATTTAATCGTTAATATAAAATTTTATTTTAAACAATAAATTTAATGAAATAAAATACACTTTACTTCAATAAAATTAAACAAAACAATTAAAAACTAGTTTAAGTAAATTAGGTTCCATTCATTTTTATAGGGAGTAAATAATTTAAGATGGGGTCAATCCTATATTTAGATGGGGCTTGCACCCCAAATCATAAGAATTTAATTTTTTTAAAAAAAAAAAAATTAACTTAGCACCAAAATTTAGTTGGGGGCATTGGCCCCCAATTATTTACTAGTGCATCCGCCCCTGGAGGAGGCGGAGGAAGAAAACGGGGAGGAGAAGAAAAAGGGGGAGGGGGAAGAGAGAGAGACCGAACCTGGTGTGGCTGAGAAAGGATAAGGGAGAAAGAAGAAAAAGAAGAAAGAAAAGGGAAAAAAAGAGGGGAAGATGAAGGGTATTTTGGGGAGAGTGGGTATGAAAACGTATAATGGGAACTTCATTTCCCGACGGAAAAAAATGTAGACTGGGAACTTAAAATCCGGACGGAGGGAGTATTTCTTTTGTAGCCAAAAGAACTTTGATAGGAATTGATTCTTCTGTTTTGCAAAATTTTTATGTATTCACAGGCTTACACCAAAGAGGCCAATGCTGAAAGAAGAAAAGCCAGTTGTGAAGCTATGGACCTAGAAATAGTCCCAAGAAATTTAAAGTGGTTGTTTTCCAATTCATCCCTCCGCGAATCTTATTTGAAGAAAAAGCATTCCCGTTTGAATTTTGATTTATCCGATTCTTCCACTCGGCGAATCTTATCATGTCTCTTGGTTGTCGTACTAGCCATTTTATTTGGCAAGTATTCTTGTGTTGGGTTCATATTTTATCGTTATGATTTTGCCAATTTTTTTTTATTTTTTTTGATATGGATGCATTTCGCGAAGAGAAAATGAGTTTGATCGTGGGATGTTTGCTTAACTTGACGCTGCATTTTGGTATATGATTGTATTTCAGTCATTAGAAACAAAAATGCATACTAGATGATCCTCTAAATGAACTTCATCTTTTCTTAAATGAACATCCAAAAAAATCAAGTCAATACAATCAAACATTAAAATTTGTCCCCTGATTCCAGACAAGTTCTCCCCTACATATCAATCTGAAGAGATCACTTTCCATGCCAGCACTATCCATGATGCCTCCAATCCTCAGGTATAAAAAGTACTACCTCCGTCCCATTTTATAGCGCATGTTTCGGTTTACGATGTTTGACTGAAATTATTTTCAAACCATTTTATATGACAAATGGCATAGAATTAAAAAATAAAAATTACATATTAAAAAACTACATCAAAAGATCTAGAAAATTAGTAGTGACAATAATATTTTATTTTATCAAATTGCTAACGAAAATAGAGAAAGAAAGTGAATGAAGTTTGACCCTGTGAATAGTAAACAGGCATTATAATTTGGGACGGAGGGAGTAATTAGCAATCCGATTCCGCGAATGTAGGCTCGCGGGCCCCAGTCATGTATGTGGGGCAGCATGCAGAAAATCCCAGTAGATCGATCAGTTTCCTGGAGCGGCTGCATCAACTGTGACTTGTGATCTGGTGATGGTCTGAGTCTACGATCCCATATGTTTGTTTTTCTTGTTTCCACCTCTCTTTTTAGAACTGCTGGTTTCAGGAGCTTGTTCTTCAGCCTTCTGCTCTGCTTCAAGGATGGCCAGCTGCAGTTTGAATGTACATGTTTAGGACGGTTCAATTCTGTAAGTTTTCTTTAGCAGTTAAGCAGGGGGGGGGAGTACAGTTACCTCGTCGAGGATTGGCTTGAGCTCCTTGTACCGAGATTCAGCAAGATCGAAGCCATCCTTGCGCAGCTCCTGCATTTTAGTGCCCAAAAACAGTTCAGGGGTATATGTGTCCCATTATTATAGTTAAAGGGTACCTTAATGGTTTTATGCCTTGTCTTTAACACCAAAAAATGTTCATGACAGAATGTTCATGCCCGAAAACAATTCAGTGAACCGAAAAATGAAAAGAATTTAGAGAACAGACCTTTCCGGTGTGTTGTGTGTGTTCATATGCTGCCATTTGCCAGTAAGTGTTCGTGCGTTTGTAGAAGTCTCGCAATGACTCTCCAGCCTTCAGCACATAAAAAATAGATTTTTTTAAAAAAAAATTAATTAGATTCACAAGCTTGAAAAAAGGAAAAAATAATAGTAATAACCACAAGAAATTGGTTCAACTCAAGAGAAAAATTGATAGTGGTGATCATCGTTTCAAACGAAGATCTGAAGCTGCAGGTCGGTTGCAAAATGAATTCCATGCTATTTTCATTTGGTAGTAGTATGTACAGAAGATATCATTTTAAATTTTGTATCCTAATGTGGCATCATGAGATATAAATTTAAAGTACCACTGGTGTTCTCTGAGCATCAGAGAGACCAAGATGCGCCCTAATTTGTTCAATTCTGGCCCGTTTCTCCTTCCTTCTAAGACTTTTTCCTTCACCTTTCATTATAGCAACAGCATCTCCCATTTTGATTGATATTGAACCATCAGTACCAGCCTTTGCATAGAATAAGGTCATCAGAATAAAAATAAAAATAGAGCCATAGTAAACACAATGGAGTAGTTTCATAATGTGAAAGAAAGAGACCTCTGCACTGTCATCTTCACCAGAGTCATCAGCACTATCGTCTCCACTCTCCCCTTCTTCGCCATTGTCATCTTCATCTCCGTCTTCATCGTCTTCATCATCAGATACTTCGACCCACTCCGGCTCAGAAGCCTGTAGAAGTAATTTATACAAACATGCATTGATTTAACAGAGATTTTATTGCGATGCTAAATTCTCGGATTTTAAACTGGATATCATCCTTTAGTGCTGGTTGTTGTATATTTGACTCGTAAGAATTCTGAGAGGGATAGAGGTCGAGTACTTGAGAAAGATGGAAGGAAAATGCAGAAATGTGAGAAAGAATAACACACCGGTATGATGCACTTCCACTCATCAAGTTTGCTCAGGTTAAGTGTATATAAATCATCAAGTGTAACTTCTCGATCCCTGACTTCCATCATGCCCCCATAGACATACAAAGTATCTCTAGCTACGGCTACACATGAATTTATGCGCCCACAAGGTTTCACAACCTGATATCACATAATCCTCAAATGGCCAAAATGAAAAGAGTAAATTTTAGGCATATCATATTATCTAGAATGGCAAACCTCCGATGAAATTGAGCCTTGCACAGCTGATTTGGAGACAGATGCTAGAGCTTTTTCCTCAGGTCTAGGTTCCACCTTTTGTTCATCAATAGTCACATTTGTTTTCATTTTTGAAGAGATCTTATCAAGATTCCCTTCCACGGCTTCTTCATCATAAGCACAGTCCTCGTATTCATCATCAGAAACAGGATGTTCCCCATGCATGGTAGTTGGCTTACTGTCAAGGTCCATATGTTGAGATTTCTCATTGACTGTTCTTTTCAACTACAGATTAATCCGGAAAATCTTGATTACACAATCCATACCCAAATGCGGAATACTTTGTACATTCTCTTTTAAAAAGTCAATTAGTGATGGGCGAAAAATTGAAGTCACGCAAGTCTTTCCAATAGAAAGCACTTTTTCTTTTTATCCAAAACTGTGATGGTGTCAGTTAAGACTTGATAGTACCTTTTCCTTTGAAGATTTTTCTTTCCTCAGCTCCAATGGATACCTGCACTTGATTGTAACATGAAAAAAGTCATTTTCATTTAATTTTTGGCTAGAAAAGCAATAGCATTATGGCCTGTTACAAACAAGGAGACTTTTAAGAAAAGGAATCAATAAACACATTGCAATATAATAGCAACTCGAGATTAGATGGGATATAAGCAGAATTAGGTAGGCCTAAGCAGGAAACCCCTAGTCGCCAAGGGCACCCTCTTGACATGGCAGGTACTAATCAGGGATAGGCAAAGAATTTTACCAGCGATGACTATCAACTTGGAAGCCATAAAGTTCATTTAAGAACAAGCTCATCATCACGTCTCCTGCATAGCCAACCAGAAGCGAAAAGTCAAAATTATACCCCCTTTGCCCCATAATGTTCTCCCCACTTTCATATTTGAGTTGTTCCAAAATTGATTTAGCATTTCCTTGTAAGGAACGAATTGTGTGGCTGATATTGTTTCTTTCATTATCAAACCAACCTCATCCACACTAGACAACAAATGCGTAGAAAATTCTGGGACGGATCACGGAGGGAATCATAAGAAGTGAGGAAAAATAACTTTTATTGAATGATAATACATACAACTGTACATGACTACATGTATAACAAATCTAGATCAACCAGGTTTGTACTCTCATACATAATACTTATGCCCCTGCCTGGCTAACTCTTAACCTAAAACAACCATACGTGTGCTACCAAGTCCAAACTGAATTTCTTGATTAAACTAGAGCCAATTTTTTTCTTTTTAATGTTAAAGTTAATGATAAAAATAAATAAAATATTGGTGACAATAGGATGTAGTACATATGAGTACGATTAGTGTTGGGTAGAACCCCATATGCACCACAGAAATGTAAGGGGTCCAAGTCTAGCATAGTAGCATATAAACTTGATCAATTTGGTTGTTGGAGGGACCATCGTTGAGCTTATGCCTTGGGATCGTTGATGTGCTGGCTACCAAAAAAGAACCTAAAACTTGGGAACTAATGGAGAAAACTTTACTGATATACCAATTGTTAGCATAAGATTTAGTTTACACTATGTTGATTAATAATTATTTAAAATGCATGACATCAACACATGAATAGAGATAACTCTTAGAGCTCTCCACCACTCCACTGAAAATTCAATGTATTTTAATTAAACATTTTATAGATTTGAAATCATATTTAAGGTATTGTGGGTTTTGAACTTCTTTTCCTGTTGGCTACATTACCCCCAATAAAAACACCAGTACTATAGCACATATTATTCAAAGTTTCTTCAAAGGTAAGAACTAATACGTAGCAACATTCAAAATGTAACAAAAAATAGCTCATGGCCCATTAAAAGGGGTCACAACATGGGTGTGAATTTCAAATTCGGCGTACTCTTCCTCTAGATCAATAAACATCTATCTTTCATCCAAAAATGTATTGAGATAAATTTGGTGCATTTTTGGGAAGTTAAACCAATGTAAAAGTAGCAAAACCAGAAGAGATGATTTTTGTAGAAACAGGAGTACAGGACTAACCTTCCATGTCCATGTCAACAACTCCTCCAAACAGTATGGCTCGCTTTTTATGGATACACATAGAGAAACCAGCACGAGGCCCAGGTGGCATTCCACTCTTTTTCACCTATATAGAGAATTTTGAATATCAAATAAATAGGGAAAGAATCAAACTGGCAGAAAACTCTTGGCAAGAGTAATGGAGTGTGTTTTAAAAAAATATTTCCATATGAAACATACTTTCTTAGTTTACAATTTTACATATAATCATGCCAAAAAAATCAACAATGAATCTATAATTGAAGTTTCCTCAGCTCGCAATTTCCGAAAGACTTTCAAAGGAGTTTGTTTTTAATTCTAGAGAGAAGAATACTGTAACGTAGCACAAAGTAGTAAAGAAAGGTAAAGATGCCACATAGTCCTCAATGAGCCTATAATTGAATTTTTGTTTGATTATGGCTGGCAATAAATTTCTGTGTATGGGTAAGAACTTATAAATTGCATTTAGGAAGATAGTTCCAAATCTACAACAATTAATGTTCATAACCTACATAAACCATAACAAATTCTATCATATGTCAAAAGCATAGATACTTATAGATATATACATCATATAAACATTAAAGTCATCCCTCTCAATGCAAATTCTATCAATAGTTTTTATCTCAACTCTTTATAGATATAAGTTGAACACTTGCTTTCTTGACATTCTAAAAACTAAATATTTGCAAGGGTTTGTTCACGTTCAGAGTCTGCATGAGTGAGGATAGTAAAGAGTGTAGTTCTGGAGGGGAGCACGAGAAGAGGAAGACCACAAAAGAAGTGGGATGAGCTGTTGAGGATGAATTTGGCAGTTGTAAACCATTTTGAGGGTATGACTGGCTTCTAAAAACTAAATATATGCAATGATTTGTTCACGTTCGTTATCTTCATGAGTGGGGAGAGTAAAGAGTGTAGTGTTTGAGGGGAGCACGAGAAGAGGAAGACCACAAAAGATGTGTGATGAGCAGTTGAGGATGGATTCGGCAGTCGTAAACCATTTTGAGGGCATGACTGGATTGACTGCTATAGGACTTCTTGTAGAGATCATATTAGGGTTGTAGAGTCCTTGTAAGGGTTGTGTGCAACTGTGCAAATGCAATAAATGGTAGTTAATTTCTCACATTGTCACAGAATTTTGTGTGTCGGAGCCTCTTGAAAACAGTTCACATACTCCTTGTAGTAAAGGTAAGGTCTGTGTGCATCCCTCCTCTTGAACCTTACTCTTGAGTGGGATATACTACGTTTGTTTGGTTTGTTGGTATAAGTACATGCAATGCTCCTAAATTGTCCACGCACAATGTGACTCAAACAAATCATAACTCTTACAGTCTTATTCAATCTTGAAGTTCCAGAAGTAATGATTGGATTCACAATATGAATAACATGAACAGAAATAAGACATCGAAACAAATAATTAGATACTAGTTTAGAGAGCAACATGGAGTCATGGATGACACACATATAGCGGTTGAGGTAACAGGAATTTTGTGAAGATAACTTTGCACCAACATATAACAATTTGGCTGTGAATTAGGTCTTTCCTTAAACAACCAAAGGATATGCAGCACTTAAAATTCAGATGCATATAATAGATAATGAAAAAAGGGGGAAATGACATAGAGCAAGAATACCAACCTTATTCCATTCCCAAGTCCTAGGATCAAGGGACCACATATCCGAATGAACAACCCCCTTTTCTGAGCCACTCTTGTCAGGTGAAATTTCTTTGGAATAGCCTCCATATAAGTATATCTGATATTTCAAAAGCAAAGAGCTAAAATGACATTATTCATGAACACAAAATTAAATTAAATTCAAAAGGGAAAAGTTACATCTTATACTAATCTAAGTGTAACTATGATGGTATCAGCTTTCTAAAAACTTGTGTGGAAGACTGGAAGAGTGGAATATGTAAAATTGGATAAATGGTGACCAGCAATTAACCAAGTCAAATCCATAAGGACCAATTCAAAAGGGAAAAGTTACATCTTATATGTTACTCCGTATATTTCTGTGATTGTATCATAAGTTCATAACCCCCATCATTCCATCAACCTATAAGAAAATTGTCACATGCTAGTATATTTTCCCTGAGTACACAACACACCCCGGTCTTTTGCATATTTCTGCGAAGAATACATTACTCATAATTGTCTTTGACTTATTATGGGCATGCCTCCCTCCCTAGCACACATTGAATATTGTGTTAGAATAGTTTCCTTACTACACTAGATTAGTTTTATACTTCCTTCATCCCGCGTCCAGTATTCCTTTTTGGGCCATCCCATAATATTTGTCCACTTTCCTTTAATTGAAACTAAAATAGAATAAAAAGTCTATTACGCCCTCATCATTCACAATCAGCCTCCAATACCCTTTTCATCTAAATTCATCTCTCCTCTTGGTCTCCTTCCTCTTCTGTCTTCTTCTTCCCAATCTTCTTGTTCTTCTTCTTGCGTATGTTTCCTTTTCTCTCTCCTCCATCCTATCTTCTTTTTCTTCTCTATCCTCCCACTCTTCTTCTCTGATTCCCTCTCTCCCCAGTCTTCTCCGATTCTTTATCTGATCTCTTCCACCCAATCTACTTTTTCAATCGATTCTCTCTCTACTCCTAATCTTCTTCTCCCATTCCTTCTATCCCCTGATCTTCTCTAATTCTATCTCTCCTCGTTTGAGTCTCCTCTTCCAGAGATCCGAGCAATAAACCTTTCTTTTTCCATAGATTTGAGCAGCACAAGATCGGTACTGCAAATCTCGTGACAATCTGTTGTATTTGATGGTGGATCGGAGGCTGTTACGATTGGATATGGGGCTGGAAGTTGGGGGTGGGGCTTGGCGATGGATACACATTGGACACAGGGATGAGGAAGGATCGAGAGGCTGGGAGCCTGGGACAGTTGAGGAATGTTGGCTAGTCTAGGGGTAATTGTGTCATTTTACTCATTGTCTTGGTATGTGTGCCATATTAAAAGTGGACAAATATAGCAGGACGGAGGGAGTATCTATTTGCTCGAAGAGAGTACTATGCATTTACTAGTAATCAAGCTCAAATAGGAAAAGGAACTCAAAAGCCGAAACAGAACTTTACACGGAAAAATAATCTCAATATGATGCATAAGAAAAACTTCAACCTATCATGCTCAACCAGGATAAAGATAGCATATTAAGGATTTTGCAGAGCAAAACTTGTATATATTCTATTGCAATATACTGCTGAATAAAACACCTCATCTAGATGAACAAACAGCTGGAAGCCACTTCTAGCACTTGGCCACATGCATCCAGGTGTACCCTTTATTTCTTGCCACTGCAGAGTAATGGATTCAATAAATAACGAAAAAATAATGAAAGAGATCATTCCAATTTTTTAGAATAAGAAAATTGAGATTCTATTAAATTCAATACACCTTAAACTGATCCAAATCAAAGACGTGCAAATCATTGTAATACCTGCAAATTATAGGAACATTATGAAGTTTAACAAAAATATGATAACTTCTGCATATCATAGTCTACAGGATACACTCTACAAAGACATACTTGCAGTTGAATAACTGGAAGTCTTGGAAATACATAACTATTTAACAACAAATCAAAATCATTACACATTAAGGGCTGAAGAAATGACCTCACTTCTCTAAGTGTGTCGTAGAATCCTCCAAAAACTATAATCTTGTGCTTGTATAAAACCTGAAACATTTCAAAAAATTGGCACAATCACTCACACTATGCGTGTAGAGAGTTCGAGATGTAAATTTGATAATACTCCATAAAATTTTGTATAAAAACACATTTTAAATATTTCATTTTTAAGAAACCACCTTATATAACATTTTTTAACAAACCACCATAGATACTTTCTTTCTATCAAATGACCACCTAAAACTACTTTTTCAGTGAACTTTAATTTTTTAGCGAGTTATCCTCGCATACTTTTATAAGAAAAGTATGTAAAAAAAACTATTTTTTTAAAATTGTCTATTTTTTTACATTCCATTTTCTTCCTATTTCTATTTTGTATTTCAGATGTTTCAAGTTTCAACTTTTTTATTTTCTAATTACTCGTTTAAATACCCCCTCCATCCCGAATTAATCTTCACACATCCTATTTTGGGTTGTACCAAAATAATCTTCACACATCTTTACTTTTTTAAACAAATTCCAACCAACATTTCTTTTTCAACATGTTTGTTAAACTCTGTGAAGTCAAAGTGTTACAATAAAATCGAAACTGAGGAAGTACATTTGTTGGTATTAACGAAGAAAGCAAAACAAAAATCCATATAAATAGGCATGAATTAAAGAGCATTACAGTTACGATGACGGCAACATTATCATTAAAAAAGTGAAATTGTGTTGTTAATATTGATTTAAAAAGAGAAAAAGTGAAACTTTGTTACGTAGTTGATATGAATTAAAATGTGAATATTGATTTTAGCCACATAAATATTACGGAGTATTATTAAATATGATGTGTGACAAAATAGTGAAAGAAACAAAGATAGTTTAAAAGGACAGAAACAATGGGACGAAATGAGTAACATCTATTTAAATTATAGTATTCTTAAGAAATTTTATGATGCAATTCTGTGCAAAGGTTTCCTAAAATAATGTGAGGGTAAATAGGTAGAATAATTTAGACCCCTTTGAAAAAGTGGTTTTAGGTTGTGATCCCCCAAAAAAACTTAGTAAATAAGGTGGTCTTTTTAAGACTAATTTATATAAAGTGGTTTCTTAAATGCTAACATATTTAAAATGCAGGTTTTTACAAACTTTTTTTGAAGACATAAAATAGTAGTAATAATCATAATAATAATAATACAGAGTATAATAATAATAATAACAGGAATAGCAATAATAATAGTAATAATTTAAAATAATACTATGTAATAATAATAATAATATTGTTATTATAAAAGAAATATCCCAAAAGAGAATGACACTTCAGAGCATAACAATAAATAACATTAAGCCAATGTTGATACTTGATAGCAGAATCTGATTTTTTTTAATAAAAGTACAAGGTAATGAGCTAGTGAAAACTGAAAAGCATCATTTTCAAGGGATATAAACTCACCATCCTATGACCAGAGCGTGGACTTGGAGAACCTTTATAATTTAATTGTTCCCATTGATTTGTTTTCAAGTCCAATACCCAAAAGTCCTTCACAAACAAACAACGAATGAAAGAATTATAACGCACTATTCCAACCATAGCATAGCTAATGCATGTCTCCATATATTACAATGTATCTACTATCTACCTTGTAATGATGGAATCGCTCTTGATTGGGTGAAGTAAATTCACCACCTACGAGTACAAACAAACAGTCATCGTCTCAGAATCAAAAGCACAAAATGCATAAGAGATGAGCTCATGCACATGCAAATGTCAGAATGCAAGATATAAGTACAAACTTTAAATATTTAACAGTTTGCAAGTGTATGCTTCACCAAAAATGTAGAGGTAATTCTTCCAAGCAACCGCTTGGTGTGCGCTACGAGGCGGCGGACTATTAGGGCTTGAGACCAATTTCCACTCTTTCTTTTCCACATCATAACGATAGAGATCACCATACACAAATGTCTGCAGATACCATTTCACATAAACTCCGGAGCATCAGTATCAACTAGAGACATCCGTGTAACAAAAATATAATAAAAGTGAATCAGACCATTTTTCTTCTGGAATTACTCCAACATGTGCATTTAGGGACTGTTCACTTGGACTTAATTTCAGTATTGTTCAGTAAGATTCATTTAAGTTCACTTCCTTGTTCAGTTCAGCTTTATACCACTTAGGCCATGAGTAATGGGGGCGTGACTTCCCCATTCACGCTTGTTCATGCCAATGCACACGGCTCCTCTAGGCGTGAAAAAATCAAATTTGGTTGGGCTTGTTATTTATATCACGAGCACTTTGCTTTTTGTTTTTTTGTACATGTGATTTGCTTCTTAATTGGATGGCATCAGTAAATTAAAAAAAATCCACGCCTCCCAGGCTCTCACGTACAAATCCATTTGGTCTCTTCCATATTTATTTTTAAAAAAAAAATTAATTTATTAAAAAAATATTTAATGATTTGATAAATATTGAAGCGGGTTGAAATAGGAGTGAACTACTACATACTTTTTTGATCAAAATGAATCCATTGATATGGCGTCCACAGGTGAAAAACGCCCCAAATGGGCATGAACCACTACACATGGTCTTAATGCCAATGCAATGCTTAAACAGATAGGTAGGATCTCAAACACAAAGCATAGAAAAAGCACTACCTTGCTTCCATTATAAAATTCGCCTCCATAGAGTATCAGTTCTGTCTCCTTTAACGGATTAATATTCAACTACAAATTCAAAAATGAAAAAAAAATTAACAACATCGGAATCCACAGATTTTGGGGTCAGCCTCAAATTAATTTGACTATACATACCGAACAATTAGAGCGGGGGGAAGGTGCAGGCACATTGTCTTCCACAGTGACTTCCTTTTTCTTAGCCTCCTCCTTCTGTATGCTCAACTGCTCCAACACAACGCAAATTGGTCATTTGGGGAAACCTTTTGCAATAGTTTGTAATTAATGTTAGAGTTTAGGGCGCAGATTAACCTGTAAAAAGCTAGAGCTTTAAAAATGCTTGAGCTAAAAGCCATAGTTCCATAGCTTTTTCAGAGTAGGTTAAACGAATAACAAAAAGATAGTTTTTAAAAAAATGGTTTGAGTAATAAAGAAGAAGGTCAAGTACCAGGATAGCATCAATGTCGTCTTCTGGAGAGAGTTTCTTCGATTCTCTTTTCGCTCTCTTTTCATCGGCTTTGGCTGTTTTCCTCTCAGTTTTCTCTTTGCCTTTCCCTGGCTTTTTCGTTTTCTTCCCCATTGTTGTCTCTCTCTCTCTCGCTCAATCTCTGTGCTGCGGCGGCCTCAGTCACGGGCGGGCGGCGGTGCTGCTGCAACTTGAACGGAATGAAGGGGAAGGGTCTGTTTAATTTGGGCTTTTCTAATTGCTGTTGCAGACCACTCGAAAAGGCCCAGCTAGCGAGCCAATTTGGCCCAATTATCACCCATTGACACTTGTTGTGTACTACTCGTACTTGTATAATCCAGACATCCAATGGAATTGGATCACGATTGTGGATGACAATTTCAACTCGATCATTAGGCCCCGTTTGGTACATGGAATTCAAATTATAGAATTGGAATTGAGGACTTCAATTCCAATTCTGGTGTTTGGGAGCACAAAAATTATATGGATTTAGAATTGATAGTGCAAAAAATGAATTGAAATTGGCAGAATTCAATTCTACGGAATTGAATCCCATGGAATTTTAATTCCAATTCAATTCCAATTCCGTCAATTCCGTATAACAAACGGACCCTTAGATAATGAGAGAAACTGGGAGTAGACCAAAGGTGCACGCACCTAAATGTACCTCACCCCCTCCATAATCATTCATTGTTATTTAAATTTTACTACGTATTTACTTATTTTTTTGAATTTTCTTACCTATTTTTGAGGTCGAGGAAGAGGTGGGGGGACATTTGGGGTACACCTTTGGTGTACTCTTAGCATTTTCCTTAGATAATTGAAGCATCGAATTCAATCTAATAGACAAAGATTTGAAGAGGAAAAAATGATACATAGACTCTAATTCGATCTAATGTACTCCCTCCGTCCCACAAAAAAGTTCTTATTTTGAATAGTATTTAATCAAATATTTACACGCTTTGATTACAAATTGTGAGAAAGGTATATTGAATTATAAAATAAATTTAATATAATTAGATTCATCTTAGGATCTAGTTTTGATATCTCAAGTTTTTTAGCATTTATTTATTTTGATTATATTTAATTTATGGTCAAAGCATGTAATTGTTTGACCAATTTATGGTCAAAATGGGAACTTTTTTATGGGACGGAGGGTGTAAGAAAACTAGAAAATAGATATGTGGATTGATAATGGATCATGTCTGAAGCGGGTGAAGAATTTTTCACTGACCCAATCCAACCACTTGACTAAATCATAAAAAAGAAATCATCTTAAATAAGGATAAAACATAGAAAAAAATATCACAATAGGAGTTTCATATTACTCCGTACTATTCTTATAAAAGAAGTTTACATTGTAATATTATGACACTGTATTTAAATATTTAACAATAAATTTTGGCATTTATGGACACAGTATATGGATATTTAACAATAAATAAGCTAGAAAAGAACAAGTTTTAAGGGTACACCAAAATTGTGCGTACATTACCAAACTTCTCACCGTACATTTTAATACACCTCTCTCTCTTTTTATCTACATCAAGAAATGTATGGTAGGATCCTTGGGATGTGTAAATGAGATAATTTTTTATCTACCATGGCATTTTTGTTTATGAAATTCTTGAGCAATACAATGAGTTTATTGCATCGATATGCCCTTGTGATTTGGTAAATATGAACCATTATCCCTCATGGTTTCAAAATTTATGTTGTTGATCCTCTTGATTCCGATATAAGAAATCTCTCTAGATATGAGTAAAAAAGTATGAAACTATTAAAATAGAAGTCTTATGTCTTTTAAGACCAAAATAAGAGTATAATGGCAGTGTGATGTAAGAGTATGCATTGGTAGTGTGGTAAAAAGGTGATGACAATGTAATTTAATAGTGTGACCAAGCAACCATCATTGATCTGCGGTGGCACTCTAATGGTCGGCAGCAATGGATGGCAATGTCGTAGTTACAATGTGACAATTTGGTAAGTGTGTCAGTGTAACAATGACAATGTAAACTCTTATATTTATCTTAAAAGATTTGTGACTCATATTTTGATATTTTTCATAACTTTTTACTCATGTCTAGTGAGTTATCCCTGCGAACAATCCCTCTAGATATGAGTAAAAAATTATGAAAATACCAAAATATGAGTATTAAATCTTTTAAGATCAAAATTGAGTATAATGAACGTGTGATATAAGAGTACGCATTGACACTGTGATGAAAGAGTTATGACAATGTAATATGATAGTGTGATGAGTCAAACGTCGATAGAAAATCTCACGCACCAAACTCTTAGGTACCCACTTTGAGGAAATATTATCGCAATTTAGATATTAAATTAAAAGTTCTTTTACTTTGACAAATTAACATGCTGACATTTTAACCCGTGCCTCGGGTTAAAATGCAATATGGACGAACAAGCCTCACCCAAACACTCACATTGCTCTCCAAACTTCTCATGAAATGAAAGAAAGAAGTCACAATTCTCTGAACTTTCAATTCTATATACTTCGTTTGAGAATTTTCATTACCAAATTTTAAATGCTAAAATATATTTATTTTACTTTGTTTTTATGTTTGTAGTGTTAAGAATCGCATTAGAAATATATTTTTATAAATCCTTTCAAAATATTGTATGGATGAAAATTTAATGGATCGACAAAAATTTCGTTTAACCCGTGCATCGCATGGGTTAGAATACTAGTTGTAATAAATAAATTCGTGAAAATGAATACTAAGTTGTTTCAGAATGAGTATTATGTTGATTCAAAATGAACACTACATTATTTCAAAATGAACACTTTTTTACTTCAAAATAAACATTATGTTTTGTGCAAAAATGAGTACTACACTCCTTCGGGTTGTATGACACTTCTTGTACAACCCATATACGTATAAGCATCCCACCCATAGTTTTAAAAATCAAATCAAACCAGGCAGTTTGGATCGGGAACCAGCGGTCAAACAAGTTCAGTCCAACAACAAAAATGTGATGTGCATTGAACCGACAAGAACCAACCGATTTAGCCATTGAACTAGTTTTTTTTGTGCAAATTTCCCAAAAAGTGGTACAGGATTGAGTTTCAAACCCAAGACTAAGGCCTTTTTTTGGATGTTGGCTATCAGTTGTTGGTTGTTAGCAGTTCGTGTCAGCTGTTATGGATGGTTGTTTAGTTCAGCTGGTTTGACTAGCAAGATGAATTGGCTTATCGTTAAAAATATTTGGTAAAATTAGCTGTTTGAAAATAGTTTTTCATATATATATATAGATAGATAGATAGATATATATATATATATATATATATACATATATATATATATATATATATATATATATATATATATATATATATATAATCCAGTGGCTACGGAAGCTACTGCCCCCTACGGAGCTCCGTTCATAAAATTGATGATTCCTACCCCCCTAACCCCCCCTGGTAAACCCCCTGCCAAGTCTCGACCCAAACTACTCCCCCCGCCTACGTCAATTGCACCTCGCAAGTATAATTGACTTTAGAGTCAAAAATTTTGACTTTATACTTGCGAGGTGCAATTGACGTAGGTGAGAGGAGTAGTTTGGGTCGAGATTAGGCGGGGGGTAGGAATCATCAATTTAATGAACGGAGCTCCGTAGGGGGGCAGTGGCTTCCGTACCCACTGGATTCTAGTGGCTCTAGAACCGGCCTCATATATATATATATATATATATATATATATATATATATATATATATATATATATATAGACACACACACACACGATATTTATTTTTCATTTTTTGCATGTAAAAATTAAATCTTTACTTTACGGAGTATTAAATTTTACTTTCATTTAATTCATAAGAAATTATTAATAAACTTTTTTATGATTTTTACTTTTTATTTTCTCATTTCATTTTTTTTGAAATTTTTAATTTTTAATTTTTTAGTATTTAATTTTTTTAACTTTTATTTTTATTTTTAGTTTTAAAATATATTACAAAATATCTTTCAAAAAAATGACTTTAAAAAAATTAATTTTTCTAACAGTCAAATCTAAAAGCTATTCCCCTTGGCATATTAGATTTTGGCTTTTTAGATCAAAATGCCAAGTGAAAAAACCATTATCCAAACAATGGTTTTGGCGGTTCGCTCTGTTAAAAAAGTCAAAATCAGTCAAACATGTTAAAAGTTATCCGAAAAGCCATTTTCCAAGTTACTTTTTTTAGGCTATCCACTTAGTTACATAATGGCATAAAGTAGTTTAATAGTACATTATTAAAAGAATGCATGTTTTAAAAATTCCAAAATATTGATGCAATTGATACTAAATATGGAGTACGGTCATAATTTTTCACATGATCTGAATGATTCTAATCTGATTGAAATAAGTTATGATCTGAATGATTCTAATCTGATTGAAATAAGTTATGATCTGAATGTGATTATATTTAAAACTATTTCTGAATTGATCTGATTTGATTTCAATAAGAAAAAGTAATAAGTACTGGTAATAAGAATAAGTTGAAGAGAACATGACCTATATGTCACAAAACTATTAAGTCGTTTAAATATTTTTGAAAATATTGTGTAAATTATTTAAAAAATCACCTTTTATTTTATAACTTTTTTATTTTTTTAAAGTACCTACACCGACGCTCCAAAAAATCTTTCATGTTTTGATTTTTTTGGATCAAACAATGATGCTTTTTGACCATAAATTAAACATAATCTATATAAATAAATGATACGAGTATAAAGATTTGATATATCAAAACTATATCCTAAGATGAACACAATTATATTGAATTTATATTACGGAGTATAATTAAATATACTTTTCTTAAAATTTATAGTCAAAGAGTATCACTGTATGACTAAAAAAGTCAAATCAGAAAAGATTTTTAGAATCAGGAGTATAAAATGTAATTTTTTCAAATAAATGCTAATACTCAACTAATTTAAATTGATTCTAAATTTAGTAATACATCATAAATTCTTTATTTATAGATAAAGTATTGTTTCATTAGATACGGAGTATTATTTTTCATATATATATATATATATATATATATAAAATAAAATATAAATTTTTAAATATGTGTGAACTAGTGATTTGATTACTTAACCCACCAATTTGACCAATTTGACTTTAACTCTAATTTTCCATCTGGAAGGGCTACCATTCGCTGTGCGGAACAGTTGATCTTGCTTCCATAAGAGCTCGTCGAGAATATGAGGAAAATTTAGGCCAGGATTCGGTTCGCAATGGGGAATGTAGATGACCGGACGTTTAAGCTGAATTTCAGCTGCAAAGGATTGACAATGCTTCAGGAGCACGTGAAGAGGAAGCTCCAGGAGTTCATGGGGGACTACACCGATGATACACACTCGTGGTATAATATCAGTGTGAATGACGTGCCTTAGATTTCGAGATTCTTGATGAAATCCGGTTTTTACTACCCGATAATATTGTAATGATAATATTGATATACCTCACCTGGCCAGTGTTGATGTTGAACTGAATTGGCTGAAGATTCTGTTGTAAGTGACACGGTTAAACTCTGAATCACGAATTATTGGGGAATATACAGCTTTGCATCTGGATCATTACTTATTAGCTTTATCTGCTTCCATATCCATTTTACCATAGCTGGTTTTTCGAAGCATAATCTGTGGTTCGTAGACACAATCAACATGAATAATGAAGCTGCTTGGTTATTGTACATATTGAAACACATATTCATGGATGAGGTTCATTATCGAATGATTTGCGGTGCCCATTAAATCCTGAGTAACAAAGCATACACAGCTTTCCTCAATTGTTCCGAGAGCCATGTTTTAGCATTGGGACATGTTTCTGTGCAATAGGTGAGCGTGGTAGATAAATGAAGTTTTCACTTTTCATACTCTAGCTTGCCAGCTATATAGATGAGAGGCAAAATTTAGGTAGGGCATGTCCCATGCTTTCATTAAGACACCTCCCACTTGTTATGTTAAATGGTCAATGGCTCTTGGAAAACCATTTGACGGCTTGTATAAATGGAGCACATGTACTTTGTTTTTGTTTGTTGTTTTTGAGATAAGTACTAAAATTTTGTTTTGATACCCCATTTTGGTGCTTACGAGTGGAACAATATGTCATCTTTGCGGAGTCTTCTCATCATGCAGGCAATATTCATGTAATAATTTAATCCCTGTGCAGAGTAACAATTTCATGGCAAACCTAATATGAAGACTCAAGAGGCAATTGTTCATTAATTTCACCTCTTATTTGTGTTATAATGGAAGTTTTTTTTTCTTTCATCAGTTGTAGGGGCTGTTTTTTTGGTAAATATATATCTTATGGTAGACTTGGCATTCAATTCAATCCTTACTCTCTGTGCAATTAATGAATTCTTTACTCTAGCACCAGTGTAAACATTTTAGGTTTCATCTATCAAATACTCCAGGGTATGTGACTATATTATTTCGTGATGTTGCAAGCTGACTTTGGCATGAGCACTTGTTATCCATTATGTGCACTGCTCTTCTTTATAACATGATGCCTTGGTGCATATCATTTATAACTTTATGATCCTATACTTTTTCCAGTTTGTTTTATATATTACTCGTACTGTATTTGCTATTATTCTAATGATTGATTTCAAATGTTTGTCTTAGAACAAAAGAAAGAAACATTGGTTTGGTTTTTGTTATTTGAGGATTTTTTTTTCTATCAAAGCTAAGAAGGCTGTCGTGTGTGTTTATTCTAATATGTGCCCCTTATTCCTTTGTCAATGTGACCTTTTGATATTGGTGAAACTTAGTAAATAAAGACGTGTCTGGGTCATGACTAATGTGGGTTATTTATTGTAATTGTCCCTGAATCTCCGCGATAGCAGACCAAAAACCAATGACCTCGCCTGCTTGATGAAGGACTTGGTAATGTTTATGAGTTAATTGACTTTTTTAATTTTGTTTCCGAGTACATTGCAATTTGAAGGAGTTGAAGATATTTTGAATGTTATTTTTGTATTAATGACAAATACGTGATTTTCCGAAGCTATTCTTTTCTAGAGATACTTGAAATCTGGCCTGCTGGGATATAACCTGTACATTTTTTATGTACGTGGGTTCATGCTCCCTGCTCGGTTATGGTCTTACCAACTGGAACTGTTTTTTCATGTATATATGCATTCTTCAGGAATACGTGATAGTCTTACTTAAAAATGGAAGGCATAAAGAAGAAGCAAGGAATGAATTGAATGTTTTCCTTGGTGATGACACTGACTGTTTCGTCTCTTGGTAATTCTTTTATTATGTAAATTGTATTTTCAGTAATTTCCTTTGAGTATAAAGTCTTTTTCATTGTTGGTGATGTTATATACATATATTGGTAAGGTTGTGGGATCATCTTGGTTCAAATTTGAATATATACATACAACAAAGAGAAGCCATTCCTGATGATGTGATCAAAGTAAGCCTTGCCAATGGTGAAAAGGCTGTTAAGAATGACACTTGTCAATTGGGATCTGAATCTGATAAAGTGAAATCAGACAAATCAAGGCCCCGCCACAGAAGAGAGTGGAAAGGATTGGTGAGAGATGCAAATGAGCAGCCACATTTACGGAGTGTTGTGGTTGATGCCAGTCACAAAGAAGTGGTAAAACACAACAAGGTTGATTGTAAACAACCATTTTTCTCACCCAAATCAGAAGTTCGGAGAAAGAGAAGTCAGCATGATTATCAGCCTACAAAGACGGTATTGCCTTCCTAGACAGTCCCCATAATTTACTAACTTAGGTAGTACTTATAGTATTGACATAAACAAAGTACTGGTTTCCTATGTGTGATACGTAACCTGATTAAACATTACAACAACAAGAAAACCAGTATATATCCAACTCTGACGAGGACTGGGAGGTCAAGATGTACTCAACCTTTCCCCTAATATGATTAAGCATTATGATCTTTTATTCAATCCAATTCTTTATGTGCTAGTGAATACATCTTTGTGCTCTATAAGCTCTATTAAAGTGCTTCTTTATTTTTGTTCATGGAAGATTTGAATGCTTTCCGGATCATATGATGGGCAAAATCTTTAGGTTCCTGCTTTGAAGAAGGAAAATTCATGTTTTCTCTTCAATGTCCCATGATATTATAATGCAACCTTTGTAGATATTGGGGGTTTAGTTCCATTGATGATTGTGAAGTAATTAGAATAGAATGAAATCAATGAATTAATAATATTTAGAACAAATAAAAGATATTCGTTGGACAAATACTACTCCTAAGGCAATCCAATGACATCATAACAATGATGTAATATTTTAGATTCCTACTTTACTGTCTATGAGCAGGAAACACAGACACTTCAAGAGAGGCAACATATGCGTGTAAGACACTGAGTGATTTAGGGACACACAACATAGGGACACACAAAGACATGCCTTGGACACACGGGGACAATTTAGGGACACATCTGAATGATAAAGAGTGAGCCTCTTTTAATAACTCTAAAAGTAATGGACTAAAGTGTCAAAGTAAACCCTAGGCAAATTCTCACTCTTTGTTAATTCTATTGTTCATTCTACCAGTCCCTCTCGTCTCTTCCTCTTCAAGTAAAAAACCCCTTGTCAGGATGCAAGAAGTTTCGAGGATACACCAAAATAAGCTGAAAAGAATCTCCTCTTTGGAGTCTCTTTCTCACACAACTTTCCGTGTCCTCGATGCACCCATGTCTCATGTTTTTAGAAAATGCTGTTTCCTACAACTAGATATATTTTATTCTAGGAAATCTGAGGGACTTTGTCAAGATGTTGGAGAGCCCATTGTTCATTTTTGCTTAACTTGTGGCAAGGTGTCTTGATATCTTCTCGATTAAAGTTGCAATCAACCTGAATATGATTTGTCCTTTTGTGGTATATTGGTTTTGATGCAACATTGGATTGTTTCTCATTCTTCTAAGAGATTGAGTTCCCACCATATACAATATTCAGAAGCAGATCCTCTATCAATTGGACATGCAGGCCTATCAACATCACAACATCTAGGCCTGTCAAAGTTGGTATAACTTGCCTTAACATTGTCTGCATGTGCGTTAGTCTGGTACAACTCATATTTAGGAAGAAGTTTATTATCCTTGGATTGTTGCATTACATTGCGTAAGGCATCCATGCTCTCCCACTCGGTTTCTTACCTTGACCCTTAAACCATATCTCCACAGAAACCACTCATTATTGATAGTAAGAACTTCCACCAAACACTAAGAAGTAATAGTCGGAACGGTTTTAACGGAGAGAGGCTGAAGCTATATAACAAAGATACCGGAAGTAGTCGGATCTGGAAGCCTTAACATTGTTTGCATGTGTGTTAGTCTGGTACAACTCATATGTAGGAAGAAGTTTATAATCCATGGATTGCCGCATTACATTGCGTAAGGCATCCATGCTATCCCAGTATCCCACTCGGTTTTTGGCCTTGACCCTTAAACCATATCTTCACAGAAACCACCCATTATTGATAGTAAGAACTTCCACCAAGCACTAAGAAATAATAGTTGGAACGGTCACAATGGGGAGAAGTCTGAAGCTATTTAATATAGATACCGGAAGTAGTGGGATCTGGAATACGGATGGAGTGCCTTCAAAAGATTAAGGGATCTTGGAAAATTGAAAGGGTAAATGATTAAATTGAGCAATTAGAGTCTCATAATCACAAAAATAAAGAGATGCTGCTATTTCACACTGATCCCATCTGTTAAGTACTTTGATTGCGATCCAACCCGGACAGAGTTCATAAGATTGCAAAGTGCGATTTCGCGATCTAGGACATGATCCAAACAAGGGGCAATTCATCATTATCTATTTATAATTAATTAAATACTCAGGGGAGTGTATTCAGTTAATTAGCCTTGTACTTCATGGAGATATGGCAAAAGTCAAACATTTTTTTTTTCTTTTTAATAAAAGTCATCATCATTATCCTCTATATTTTAGTTCTTTTAGACAATGCCACTGCTCATCAAGTCTATAAGGGTTATTTTTTTACTTGCCTCTGGACACTCATATGAGACCATTCTCATGTTTTTGATAGAGAGAAGACATTTCTAAAGCAACAATTGTGGCTCCGCGGAGGTTGCTGCAATTTGCTGAGCGAGATGCTGTGGCTGCTTTGAGACCATCCCATTTAGCCACTGAGCCATCACTGAAGCGCCTTTGCTCAGTGGTATCTACGTCTTTGGAGGATTCATTGCCTGGGGATTGCTTAACCGTTAAACAATCAGGTGCAAGAGTATCGGATGCCATAGTGACGGTTTCCAGAGTTGTTGCTGAAGCAGCCAATGATGTGACAAAACGTAAGCGTTCAGCTAATGTGTTTGATAGGCTTGGTCATGATTCGAACAGATTGGTCACCTTGGAAAAGCTAGAGGAGATGAGTGCAGATGTCACTGAACAAATGAAAGACAAGACATTTGTTGATGTGATGGAAGTCCCCACTACTTACCATCAAACGAATTATAGTGGACTTCGTGCTAGAAAATTGCATGGTTATAATGAGATGGATTTCTATCCTGGGTCAGATTATGAATGTTATGCGAACATTAATGTTGTGGCTCAAGTGGATTTGGGTGGACGAGAAGCATATGTTGGAAAAAAAGGCATAAGGCCACTGGTGCGCAACAAAAATGTGACCAAAACTGCTGCTGAAAGAAAACCCAAAGCACTGAAGGGTCAAGATCATCCTACATCCATTCCAAATGCTTCTTGTAATATTATGACTGGATCCATGAATACGAATACTTGGAAATCGCCTCAATATCAGGATCCTGTGAAGGTATTGAAGAGAGATGGCTGTGAATCTGCAAAAAACAGCGGGGCTGTGGCATCCATGCCTTGCATGCCATTCATGGAAAGGAGAAATGATCCTGTGACAGTTGAGAACGAGAGTAAGGCTATGTTATTATTTCATACTCCCTCCATCCCAATGTGTTCGTCCAATTGCTTTTTTGACATATGGACCAAGGAAATGAGCATATAGGGGGGAAGATGACAAAATGCCTTTACTATGTGTAGTTGGTAGATGAATCATTTTATTTTTGCCACAAATGGGAAGTGGACAAATATGTTGGGACAACTCAAAAAGGAAAACTGGACATAAACATTAGGACAGAGGAAGTATATGTTTATAATTTTTTACTAGAACACCTGTATTGGATTCATATAACTTACATGTTCATGTGCATCTTTGTGATCAGGTCAAGTCTAACACAGAAATAAAAAAGGAATCAGAAAAGATACAGTCTGTTGTTCCTGGTCAGTTGGGTCTTGTGCGCGCGCGTTTTTAAAATTTCTATTTCAGTATTTTCCTTGTTGTCAAGTGTAATTCATATATGTGCTTGAAAACCACCAAGAACATCCTAACGTATGTGCTGCTATTTTTCAGTAAGATCTTTAAACTTGACAGTTGACGCTATCTTAACAAACACTCTTTATACGGTATTCTTGTGCAGGTTTGTGTTCTGCTTATGCACTTCTAGAGGATACGGATTCCAGGACAATCTTTGTCAATAATGTAACCACTAACCAACTAAACTACAATACTCTGCTAGCCTGATGGGTGAAGGCATTCATCTTTCTCCTTCATGGCTAAATCCCTCTCACCCCCACTTCTGTCCCCTCTTCCATCTTGCTTCTATCAGGTTCATTTTGCTTCTACAAAGGAAGGTCTTTCACGGCACTTCAATAAGTTTGGTGAAGTGCTTAAAGTGGTTATTTTAACTGATGCTGCGACCGGACAACCCAAAGGGTAAGGTGTTTTATGCTAATTAGCTCTAATTCCTTCACAGAATCTCAATATAAGTAAAGTGGGGTGTTTTTTTAATGCAGGTCAGCTTATGTAGAGTTCATGAAAAAAGGAATCAGCAGATCATGCTTTATCGCTTGATGGAACCTCATTCATGTCACGTATCCTTAAGGTATGTTAGCAAATGACTCTAATTTCCTGTTAGTGAATGCTCAATGTGAATCTTTCTTGGTGATGCTCTTCATCGTACGTCCTAGTGTTGGATATTTTTAAATATTTGTTGCACTGGGAATTTATGCTAGCTTGAACGTATTTACATTTGAGTATATTCTCTATTTTTTGAGTGATGGATGTGCATATGCAGTGAACATGTGATATGAGTAAATTAACTGTAGTTTGAGGGGATGGTTAAATTTCTATTCCCTTGTCTTTCTTGCTATGCAATTCTCCCTCCATTGAGCATACATGGTCAAACTATTTTGGTCAAACTATGGCACCCTTTGACCACAAACTATGGAAAAAGTATATTTAGTTATAATGTAAATTTAGTAAAATTGGGTTTGTTTTAAAATATAGTTTTGAAATATTAAATTTTTACAATATTTAATTATTTTAATCTATATTTAATTCGTGGTCAAAGTGTGCTACAGTTTGACCAAAAAAGTCAAACTGTGTCAATCTTTTAGGGACAGAGGGAGTACGTAAGAAAACTAATTTTGGACAAAAAAACTAATTCATCATTGTCCGTGCTTGAGGTGGTATGTTATAAATTTGGATATATGATATTATTGTAAATGTCTTTTTTAGTCGTTGTTGGAAAAACTAGAACCCAAATGAGCAGAGCCTTGATAATGTTCAGGGCTAGTGCCTAAGGCAGAGTATAACTGGGATCTTCAGAGTCAAGGCAGATGGATGTTTAGAACAGAGCCAGATGCTATTATGGGTTTCTTTATGCCTGATATATGCAGGTCGTTAAGAAAGGGTCCATTCCTCCCGAAGCAACAGACGCAACATGGCCTCGAGTTCTCGGCAGAGGAGGCTTGTTTGCCGCTTCGTGGAATCCCGTGACCCGAGGAGGAGGCGTACCGAGTGTGTATAGGGCCCACCTCCCCCTGATCAAACCCCGCGCAAGGAGTATGCAATGGAAGCGTGCACGGGTGAATCCACGGGGCATGACCTACACTCGCGCCGAACAGAGAACAAATTGAAGTTTTTGAGGCGACTTGGGAGGGTCGAACAACTGAGACTAACTTTCTTGATACCCATAATGGGACATGGACAGTTAATATGCCTTTGCTTTATTTGTTTATTTACTTAATGGGACATTCTTGTTTTGCAATGGCTCAATACAATGGGGAAGAATGGATTGATTAGCTCTATCTGACCCCTAAGTGCTCTTGGCACTTTTGGGGAAAACACCCCTCTCTCTACATCCAGCCAATAGTAACATAAGTGAGGTGACTTACATAGGTTGTGAATTTTTTTCAAAAAAAAAAAAATGGAGATAAACTTATATATCCAATCAAATTTGTTATGTACTCCTTAATATAGACAACAACAGCAACAACAACAACAAGAACAACAACTTAGTTGAATTTCATGAAAATACGGCTTAATATAGAGAAACCCAGAATATGATATTAGGATTTGGTGGCATATTGCATTGTATAATTAAAATTTGTATTCAGCATACATAAATGCTTAGTCAAATAAGATGAAATTTAACCATTATTTAAATAAATACTCCATATGCGTTATATAGGTAACACGTAATATAGAGTATAAGATAGTTTTTCAATATATTTATCTTGTAAAAAAGAATTTAATTACTATTAAACAAACAAAACATTCTAAATATTTTAGAATACTCTTCTCCGGATTTAGTTTTCTCATTTGATTTTTTACGGTCTGTAATGTGACACTTTGATTATTACTATCGATATTTATACATTGTAATAAAATTTTAATATTTCAAAACTACATTTTAAAAAAAACTTTTGATATTACATTTATATCGAAACACAAAGTAGCTTTTCTGAATATCGGTATAAAAATTTATAAGCATTGACCAAGAAAAATCAAACAAAAAGGTTAAATCCGAACAGAAACCTTAACGAAACCAATGATATAGGTCACCGATGCGATGTCTTAACAGAATGAGGAAAAATGAAAATAGAACTCCGTATTAAAAGCCGGAGCAAATGCTATGCCACAATAATTATCTTTATGCTTACAGTTCATCAAAAAAAAAAAACAGTTTTTGCCACAATTAGTGTACACCACTAAATACATCCAGAGACACATCAAACCAGAACAATTGGCCAATCCAATAAACCCTCTGGGGATTAATTAATTTAATTGATTAATACATCAAAACTCACAAAGATACGATATGACATTGTTATTCTTCATCATCATCACTAGATAGCTCAAAGTCACTGGTATCAGAACCCCGTGCCCATAGTAGAAAAGACATAGCCTCGGCAAACTCGTTTAGTTCTTCGTCGCTAGACAATGTCTCAGCATACTCATTCAGTTCTCGCTCCCGAAGCCCTCGCGGCCTGCGCGGCATGTACAGCTGTTCAAATAAATCAACTAAGCCGTCAATATCTGTATCGAAGCTCGACCCGACTTCGTCCATGTCTCGAAGCCTTGATCCATATGATGAATCCGGCATTAGAACAGAATTCCACAGCATCGATCCAGGTTTCACAGTGTGCTGGAAGGAAAGACAACAGAAATGTGATTTGTCAGAGGAATGGTAAAGCCATCAAACAGACACATATCCAACAATCAAGCATCGAAACTGATATTACAGTTGCATGTTAAAGCTCTGTTCTTTTGGGTTGGAAAAACAAAACTTTTAACTGTTTCCAACTCCTTCCAATTTCTTCCAACTTCTTCCAACAACTTAAAAAAGGTACTCTGTATATATATGTATGTGTGTGTGTGTGTATATATATATGTATGTATGTATCATGAATATACAATAATATTATATATCCAAATTTATAACATTTCACCTCAAACGCGGACAAGGATGAATTCTTTTTTATCCAAAATAAAAGTTTTCTTACATATTTTATTTTAGTGACCATTTAATTGAGTGACTTTTTAACACTTGAAATCGGGCCAATTGTGGTAAATCGGGTCAATTGTGGGAATAAAAAAGAGTTTTTAATGATGAAATAAGTTGTTATTGATAATATGTTCACTGTCCTAGAGACACACACATCAAAAATATTAAAATTCAATACCTTGTAGAAACAACTAGTCCCAAATGGACAAGTCCCATTCCCAGAGTCAAAGTGTTTGCAATCAATAGTCCTGAAGAAAAAACAAACAAAAAAAATCAATTATTGAAGTTACATGTCAAACAGAAAAGCCCCATAGAAAAAGCTACTTATATTGGAAACAAAAGGCAACATGTTTTTTGATTTTTACAGTAGAGTTGTACTGACTAATCCACTAATGAGAAACTTAGACTCACAGAAGTTTGTGAAAGAAAACTCATTCAATCATACGTCTATAACAATGAATCCAGGGTATGGAGATAAGGGTAAGGATATTGGACTAATAAACATATATGGTGATCACTCCATCACCAGTCACGAATCACGTTAGGTAAAAACAGGTACGGTTGGGCTTCTCCCGATCAACTAAGAAAGAAAAGACATTCTTCATCCTAACTAATGAGCTCAACAATCAAAGTTCTCATACATGGCTTATGTCAACCTTCATACTTCATTTTGTTTATCAATATTACTTATGTGTGATTAACTAAAGGCGCCTATGTGAGAAAAACATTTAGCTATCTTTACAAAAGAAGTTCCCTTTCCTTAAAACCACACACCGAAACAAAAAAAAAACCTGAATTTTGCTTTGTAGCTGTCAATAATTTCTTGTTTTTCTTCCTTTGTGTTGTACCAAATCACGCTAGGAATGACAAAATAAGACCGCTTTCTGCATATGGGGCAAGCCCTTAATGCAGAATTTACATCCAGCCCAGATGATGGAGAGCTGCCACGCCAATTCCTAATGCACAATATGCAAAATGGATGGTCACACTCTGATAAGATTCCAAATTTGCGTTCAGATTCCACTGACTTGGAGAGAACACGTTCAAGGCAAACGCTGCATTCTATTTCTTGACTATGTTTTAAAATTTCCAGGTAATTTTGCCTTTTCTTGCATGATTTTAAATGCTCTTCTCTCTCACGGGGCCTAAAAGGATGCAAGCAAAGTTTCCCACAAGTGGGACACAAATCCCCGTGAATATGAGAGCATTTCTCCCCACGCATACAGTGACCGGCCGCTGCAAATGAGCAGATTGATTGATCAGCTGGATCATAAACAGTCTCCTCAGCTATGTCATAACTCTTTAATAAATCCCGAGGCCCTGACTTCTGACTCAAAGTTGGTTTTCTGCGCCCTTGAAGAGACGATGCAGAAGACTGCAAGTGCGAAGCTTCAACATGTTCATATCTGCATCTGCTCCCAAAAGCACACATTCCTTTTTGGTAATAAGAGCAAACCTGAAAAGTATCATGTTGTCAAAGTTTAGACTTAGGCATACAAGTAATAAATGTCATGTTAATCAATGCAAATAGCCCAGAATGCTTACATTACTTGAAGGGGTTTCCAGATCATGCAAAAACTCACAATGATCCCCTTTTAGACATCCTCCCTGCACAAAAAACTTGCATAGAACCCTGGATATTTGATAAAAATGAACTCGGGTCAGACATAAATTTTCCGGAGATGGAGACCAATCAGACCATTGATGATAACAATAAGCTATACAGAGTAACATATTTGAGGAATTGAAGCACTACCACATAGATTGTTTCCTAATCTGTTTTTTTAAGTATTCCATGTTAACACTACCACATAGATTGCACCTCTTTCATGTATGTTTTCATCTGATTCTTATAATTAGATGGATCAAGTGCTTTATATCATAGGCGAACGACGCCTGCAAGCATTCGATTAACCCCTAAAATGTAGTTATCAACACGCAGGGTTCTAAAAATAGCTAGGTCATTAAACTGGAATCGAGCCTAGCGCCTTAGGCGGGGATTAATCGAGCCTAGGGCTAATAGCTGCGTAGATTTTCAGAAGACGGTAAAAAAGGATCGATTCATCTCCATAAACCAAACAAAAAAGGCAAAACATCCACAAAATCAGAAGCAGGCTTGCAAATGTGGAGCGGCGAGCGTGCGGCGGCGGCAGCCGGAGGACAAACAGGCGCGCGAAAATCATTCAGATCGGAACGGCGGAAGAGAAGAAGAGAGGAAAAAAAACCGAAAGCGAGATTTCTTTCACCTTTTCGGCATGGCGGCGGATCTCCGGCGAGCGGAAGGGAGCCCGAGAGAAGCTGCTCCGACGGAGATGATTTTCCCTGCTTCTTTTTGAAATTTGAAAAGGGATGCGGACAGAGATATAGAGAAGGCGACGCCTACTGTCTCGCGTCCCAGGAAAACGATGGGAACGTGGGAGCTCTGGTGTGGAGGCGAGGAAAGGGAGCGGAATAATAGGCCTTTTTGCGCGTTGGCGGTTCATGCGCGTGGATTCCACGCGCTCCCGACGTATCCCTGGGGAGATTCAATGTGTGGACAAGATTCGGAAACCCCTATAGGTCGCACGTTCTTTCCATTGATTGAGACGACCAGATAGAAAGATTTAAGGAAAAAAAAAGAACATTATGCCATTCTTTCAAATTAATCCGGTAATAATTTTTTTTAGCGACTTTGTCCTTTATGTTTGAATTTTTATAGGGAGTATCATACATTTGGATGTGGTGCGTTATTGTTTATTTGACATAAATGTACTCATGGATCCTAGGTTATAGGTAGTAAAGAGTAGAGAAAGAAAATTCAAGATAGGAGTAATGGAGTACTTAGACTTCGACCCACCGTCACGACGACAGAAAGTCTATTTATATCCGTTTACGGATCGAGCTTGGACTAACTCGGTTCGCAGCCCACGTGCCTAGTAGTTATATTATAGCATATTGTTTTTTCTAACCGTCTATGTTTCGTGCTCGTAACAACAGTTTGCCTGACTAGGGGTGGTGGTCTGGACGAGTTTGGCTCTCCCAGGCACGGGCTCCATCTTCCATGTCGAGCTCAAATACTTGCGTGGGTTAGAGATGGCGTGCTGGTACTCAATCTCGGCTATGCCGAGCTTAGACTTTCACCCTTGGGTTCCCAGGTTTGAGGCAGAGTGTTGATGGTCGAGCTCACCCATGTCGAGCTTGGTCTTTCTTTCCTTAAGGCTTCTTGATTTGAGCATATTTGATCTCAATTCTGACGGTCAAGGGCACCTTACCCATATCTCCATCACCAACTAAGTAAATGAATACCATATGTCGATGAGCCTAACTTTAGAAGAGATTAAACCCGTAACTATGTTATGAGGCTGGTGTCGAGCTTGGATCATTGCATTTGCTCCTCATTTGCTTATATACCTTGCAAGCTTCTTCCAAGCCCTAGAACATAAGCCCTAGTTCACAAGGTTAATATATCCATCAAGACTCTTCCACTTTCGGAGACTAGAAGAACTCAAGGTCAGAGGAAGTAAAAATACCCCAACCAATTGGCAAATCAATGTTGCTGACTAATATTTATTCTCTATATCCCGATTTTACTCGTGTGTAACTATTCATAATGTTAAACTTTAATTACATTTTTTACCTATTTTTTACCCATTTGATAAAATAATATTATAAACTTGTCATTTCCTATTTTGTAGAACCTTTGGTGTAGTTTTTTAATGTATAAATTTTATTTTTTAATCCCATAAAATTTTTTTAAATAAATTTAATTTTAAAATAATTTTAGTCAAACTTCGTAAACATCATTAGGCAATTTTAATTGGTACGGATGAAGTAATAAATATACAAATGTTTTAATATTTCTTCATTCAGAAATAAGTTTATTTTGAAATTTTGGTTCAAAATTTATTAAGTGTGAGTTGTATTTTATTTGAGTTTTAAATTTCTTTAGATAAATTTAAAAACATTAAGAATTGTCATTCGTTATCTTTTGTTTGTGAAATGTAAACAAAGTTTTATAAACATTTCTTACATTTTAATTATTCATTTTTTTAAGTTTTTTATGTTTATTCTCTATTTAAATTCACTTTCAATTTTTAAAAATCAAAGGGTTTAGGTACATCTTTAAATGTAAAGTAGATACGTACGTATTCATCCCAATTTTTACCGAAACTTATATCGAACCACCCCAAACCATCCTAAGTCGATATTTTGGAATTGAGATTTGCATGACGTAAAATATCATATTGAATCAAACTTTTTGATATGGTATTTGTACGAATTAAATTTCGTCTCATATCATACTATGCTCCCCTCTAAGGATACTCTTCGCCACGAGACCCAATTATGCAAAGGGGACATGTTTTATCGTGACCATTATTGAGTCATAAAATATCATATTTTATCCTCTTATCTCTTAGCACTTTCAGTTTATGACAATTCAGTTGCATTTTAAACTTAAATAATTATATATTATCATATTTGGCATTTTAGGCCAATGTTTTCATTATATAATAAAATGCATCATTTTGAGCATGTTTATATTCAAAATTGTTTTAGAGTACTATTTTTAAAATTTTAAAAATTTCAAAAAATGATAAAAGAAGCTTCTTGTTTGGATGTTGGCTGTCAGCTGTTGGCTGTTGTGAATGACTGTTTAGTTTAGCTGGTTTGACTGGCAGAATGAATTGGCTGATCGTTAAAAATGTTTGGTAAAATTAGCTATTTGAAAATAGTTTATATATATATATATATATATAGACACACACACACGATATTTATTTTTCATTTTTTTACATGTAAAATTTAAAAACGTTAATTATGTCAAAACTTTGCAAAGTTAATTATGCAAAGTTTTGCATATACATCAGAGAATGCTCCTTTTTAATCTAAACATTTTTTTACATGTAAAATTTACATTCCTTCATACCAAAGTTAATTATGTCAATTCATATTTTCCAGGTGTGATAATAACCAAATGATATTATTAGATGAGTTGGACTAAAAGAATTACAGTACTATATTATATGCATTTAGATTTGAGATCCTCATATACTCTTATCTAGGAACATGATTAAATAATGACTAACTTTTAAAATGATGTTACTAGATGGTTAAATCTAGATAACCTCTAGTATTGAATTATGTGGACTTCATATTAAACTTATATGCTCTAATCCGTAAATGGGATGATTATAATGGCGGCACTAATAACCAAAAATGTATTTTTGGATAGTTTAAATCTAGATTATTTCTAGTGGTAAATAGTATGGATTTGAGCGTATAGATGTGGGCGATATTAGGAGTTGAGTATGTACGCACATAAGGTCCTAGAACCAGTCAGGTGCCTGAGGATCATTCAACCTGTGTGCCCGGAACCAGAAGAGTATTTATACCCAGACTGGGAAGGGCCACAGAACAAATTCTGAACCTGAAAAGAAGGGCGCTCGAACCCAAACTCAGACAGGGGAAGTCTTGTCGAGTCTATCTCTATGGAGAACGACTCAGGATGGCGTGAGGATAAAATAATAGTGGTTGAAAATAAGAGATATCAATATTATTGTATAGTGATTGGTTAAATTCAGGATGTTGACTTACTCTATGTTATGAATTAATTCCTAGTAGAGATATTCTCTTGATAAAACGAAGAAACAATAACGATTTATCAAATATATAAATGAAGTATATTTGGCAATAATACCCTTTGTTTTTAATAAGTACTTTGGACACATATTATTATACGAAGAAATGTTCTTACACCTTGTCGTAAAATTAAGAATGTCAGAATTTTATGATTAAAGGTTTCCTAAAGAAGATAAAGTAGATTTTATTAAATAAAAGGATTTAAAAGGGTATTGATGCCCGTATGTATGTGAATGTGTTTCATTAATTATTCTATAGAATCTACGTTGTGGTACCACTCAACGGTTTTGTAGAGCATACAATTGTCTTTGTTGTGTGACTGTGCGTAGGTAATAAGTTATGATGTCCATCCGAAAGATGCTAAGGCGGGAGAGTTAATAGAAGGATGCGGGAACTGTTTTTTTAATAATATAAAATATTTTGGGACTTGAACCCATACATGTAAATATGTTGAATATTATTTAGCTTCCGCGATGATTAAATTAAATTACTCCAAAATTATTTTATCATATTTTGAGGAGACCATGTTTTAAATGCTTTTAAATTACTATTTATATTACTTTTAAAAATTATGGAACGTTACATAACCAAATTGCTAGCGCTCTGATCCACTAACCCGCGTGAACTAGGTTATGCGAATCGGGGTGTTACATGAATCTTCGCTCAAGTACCTTGTAAGGTTGAGCTTGATGAGCCAAAACAACATCTTATGATGCCGCATCTTAAAGCTGATGTCTGTGAACTTTACCACTTCTTTGATAGAGTTCGCAGACATTGTGACAGTGGGATACCCGATCGGTGAGGATGCGAAGGCACCTGCGTTCGGTCCAAAAGAGGGAAAGACTGGTGCAAAAAAAGTTGTGTACGGTCTAAAGGAGTTGACTAGGATGGCCGAAGCCATATTCGGTCTAAGTGGGGTGACCGTTGCAGCTGTTGCCCTGGTCGGTCTAACAAAAGAGGTGACTGGAGCACACTCCATAGTCGCGCTTAGTCCATCAAAGGTGATGATCAAAGTGAACCCCACGGTCACACTCGATCGATCCAAAGGGAATGATAATTAGAATGTTCTGCCTAACAAATCCACCAATGCAGCCGTAGTATTCACAACTGGAGTCTTAAAGCTACTCTCATTTCTGATGTGAGTGTCAAAATCGACACCGGCTATACTTGCCATCGTGCATAGATATGACTACTACCTTAAGGTTCTTATAAATGATCATACAGATTATAATAGACCTGAAAGACTAACGGCCCCAGAATATAATAGTAAATAATATTCTGAACTTATAGTTTATTCAAAATATTACAAAATAAACAAAATAGAAAAATTAGTTTCTAGATTTTCAAAACGTCTTGGTTACGAGGACATTATGCATTGAATTGCAAAAGTATTATGTACTGGCTGAAGTAATAAGCCTGGGAGAAGGATACTGTGACCAGTGGCGAGGTCTTTGGAACAACATAGAGAAGAATATGACTAAAAACAAAAAACTAGCGAGAACATTATGACTTGGGGCGGAATGCAGCGAGGCCACTATAAATATAACCTGCAAAACTAAACACCATATAAGGGTAGCAGAGTCACCAGAGCTATCCTTAAGGTAGTAGTGTCCGTCTACCATATCGAAAAATGTAGGCACTCTTCTACCATGATAAAACCACTATCGTGTGTGATGATTGTACGGACCAACCACAAACCAGCGAATAAGAACCACATCAGAGGGTTGCCGACCAGAAAAACTGAAGGGGATCACCAAAAACTTTTGGCCAAAAAAACCAAGAGTTCTCTTGAAGAATTAAACAAGAAAACTTTAATCTTCTCTTTTCTTCCTCTCTTTCTCACGTATGGAAATGAAAATGAGAGATCTTGGATCACTCTTTTAATTTAGAGTAATGCTACTTTGACCACAAAAATATAAACCGCATCTTTAACCCACTCTTACAAATCTTACAAACATTCACAGATACGAAACATTGTCGAATGTCTATGAATGTCTGTAAGGTTTGTAAAGAGGTGTGGTTAAAAGTGAGGTTTATATTTTGAGGTTATTATATCATTTTTTTCTTTAATTTAATAGGCAACTAACGACCCTCCATTTTGCAATCCCTATGCCTTCAAAGTAGATTCATTAGCAATGACCATCATTAGAGGCGTGTTGATGATAGTCATTAACACGTTAGTTACGCTATACTCCATTTAAAATTTGTTCGAAGAATTGGTGAATTAATGATTAGTTAACTCTGTAAAAATAGATTAATTTTAAATATTACATAAAATAATAATAATAAAAGATTGATTCAATGTAAGAGAACTCACGCTTATTAATTAACAGTTAAAATCATTAGTGGATCTATTGATATATATGTTTTAAGTTGATACATTTAATGCCTATTAAAAATAAAAAAATCCACCACTAATTAGAAGATTTAAGAAAATGCAAAAAAGAAAGAAAAAAAAGAAATCTTGTTGTGGGGAAGAGTCGAGACTTTAACCAGTGAGAGAAATAATGCAGAGGTTCATTTTTGGATGGGTAATAATAAAGATACAGTATAAAGAATGGACATAATATGGAAATGGGTGTAGGGGCAAGATGGCGTGTCTCTCAAGTCCGGTATATAATCGCCTGAATCGTCCTACGTAGCAAGAGGGACAGACAGAGAGAGACAGGCAAGAAGAATTGTCTCTGTTCAATCACACTCCAACCAATATCTTCTACTTCAGAGATTCAAAAAAAAGGGATCCAATAAATCAATAAAGAAAGCACCTTCACTTCTCTCCTTCTTCTTCTTCTTCTTCTTCTTCTTCTTTGCTGGTACTAAGATTTACCCTTTTCTCCTCCCCATCTCTTGACCTATTTTGCTCTGTCTGTGCTTGTTCTTGGTGTTTCCACAGGTTTTTGGGTGTGGGCACTGCGTATGCATTTCACATTTGTGTTCTTTTTTTCATTGTTCTTGTGCTGTTTCTACTCTGGTTTCCATGAAATGGAGAAAAGAATTTGGGAATTTCAGGGGAATTGCTAACATTGAGTTTGAAACATGCATCTATTTTGATTGTTAGTTTATTTTATTTTTAGGGTTTTGATGAATGGAAAACCTTGTTTTGCTTTGAACATTTTCTATTCCTGAATCCTGATGTGTATGGTGGTTTGCGCTTGGGATTTTAGTGTGATAATAATAGTGAGTGGTAGCTGAAAGTTTGTTAAATCTGATGTCCTTACTGCATATTCATGACTGAATATCACAAAAATTGTGGTTGAATCTGGTTTAGAGCTTGACTAAATCTTTGCTTGCTCTCGTAGAGATTATAATGAACTTCTCTCAGTGCATTATTTTTTGCATTGTTGCTCCGAACCCAGTGCTTAAGCCTTAAGTTTTGCTGCTTTTGTTAATTTGCAGGCTGAAAAGGTGGGAGGAAAGAAGAGGAGGAGACATTTATGAGATGAACGGTGAGCAACATATGGCGATGCATTACATAAATACAGGTTATCCTTATTGCGTTGCAGAGAACTCTGCGTACTTCTTTGATGGTTCCCAGCCCCATTTGCAATATCCAAATCCTCACCAAATTCCTAATGAGGTTAGTCCTGCAATACTTGTGAATTGTTCTTCTAGTGAAGCTGGATGAATATAATCCACTTCAAACTAAGTTATTCAATTTTGACTTCAATTCAATATATTTCAGCTGAAAATAACACTCTTAGTGGTTTTCCTCTTTTGTAATATCGATGGGAAATCCTTGCCCTGTTTTTTTGTGAGCAGGAAGCTACTTACTGGACCATGAATATGAACTGGTACAAATTTGGATTTTCTGGGATGGAAAGTTCCTATTACAATCCTTACGTGAGTGGTAACCATTTGTCAACCATGGATTTCTCTGGGCAACAACATTTGAATTACCATGTCATGACGAACGCACAAGAACCTCCTGCATCAGTAGACATAGTGGAGTCTACTTCCGAGGAGAATGCAGTTCCAAGTGCAGATGCTAACCCTGAAGACAGTGAGTTTCATTTGTTATCACAGAGTGATGCTATAATCAGAAGCATGAACAGAGTTTCAACTCGATATTTTTTTGTTGTTGTTGCTGTTATTCAAAATGGGTCATCCATTGCCAGTGCAGCTAAATGAGTCATAATTCATAATGTTTTAGCTTCCGGGTAAATTATGGACTAAATAAAAAAATGTCACATTAAACTTCCTTTGCTTCTAACATTTTATGAAGCTTTGGCCCGTAAATGCAACAATGCATTAAGGGTCTATTGGAAATAGCCTATTTTTTATTTTTACATGGGTAAGGGTGAGTACTTCTTGAGTTCTTGACCCTAAACACCAACAAAGTTGGGATTATATCTGGTATTGTTGTTTTAGTTGCTGCTTTTATCAGTGATGAGTTTTTATTGTTATTCCAGCTACCCAGACTGCTTTGATCTTACCAATCATAATAACCTTGATCGTTTAATGGGGAATTTATATGTTAACTGATTCCAACAATTATCTGACAAATATATATATAAATTTCATGCCATTGAGCGCACCATATTGGCTTCTCATATTCTTGAGGAGTTTTAATTTTCCAGCCAAAGTTTGATTTTTTTTCTTTTCTTTTTGGCTTAGTAGGAACTTCATCACAGCAAGATGTCACCAGTGATCAGGTATCATACAATATTGCAAACATGACTCCTTTTCTTTTAGGGACGGGTGTAGTATAATTTATCTGAAATCTTTAAGCAATTTTTAGTCACGAAGACCGAAGCATGATTGATAAGAGGAAACCAATGCTTTGAGAATATTTGAGCGAATAAAAAAATGAGATGACCAAAACCGCTCTTTGTTTTTGAAAGAATTTGAAAACAAAAACAAAAGCAAGGGCGCAAAACTATACCAAAAGGCCGTCAGTTCTTAGGACCTTAGAGTAATGATATTCAGAAGTTGTGGGACTAAAGGACTTGTGGCATGTGGAATCAGAGAGTAGACTTTAAGCCTGAATAAAAAGGCCAGTTCTCATGATTTTTTTTGTTAAAAACGTAATAGAAAAATTTAAGTGTATTAATTTTAGTTAAACCAACAAATAAAATTCAAAACTATATATGAAAATTTTTTAAGTTGTACCTTAATTAAAATTAAAGTACATTTGTAAACTATGGCTCTTTTTATGGGACATGAGGAGTATTATTTTGAATTGCTAGCTGTATTTCTCAAAAACAATTATAGGTTAGAATTATTTTCTGAAATATGGTATAATCATAATAGCTTTCCTTTTTCCTGTCTGTGACATTACAGATTGTGTTCGAAGACGATATTGATCCAGACAACATGACATATGAGGTCCGTTTTCCATACTATTTCTCTGTAGTATAAACTGTTCCGTTTCTTTGTGGAGAGATTTTCATCCATAGATTGGGACATTCAATTCCATTATGAGATATAATTGGGATGGGGCATTCTGTAACCATATACTTCTAACCACAAATCTTGAAGTCTTTATATTCACTCCAGATGGATTGCACATTGTTTTACACAGAGTAATTTTTCTTTTATGGAGAGAGAATACATGTGATGAATTACAACTAATTAGTTAACTACGACATTTTTGTCATGTTTATTTTGCAATATCAATTGTGTAATGGCATATGACTCATCATCGTAATAGGCTCATGATCATGAAATATAAGAATTTAATCTCACCGTTCCTTTGTAAGTATGTTGGCACCAAAAGGACATAATATGGAAAACTTCATCACAATGCTCTTTTGCGTGCATTTAAAGTGTTAATTAATTTCAGACCATTGATTGACTCTATATATTTGATATAGTGCCAATTAGTTGTCGAAATTTTGTGAACAACTAAAATTTAAAAATCATACCCCGGCGTCGTTAGGATTAAAGTAATGATGAGAAATGGTTAGGCTGTGACATTTCCCTTTAAAATTCTTGCCAGGTTGTCCTTAGAGGGCATCTGAGAATTACCAAAACTCATAAATTTTCTTGCAAACTATTCCGCATCTTTACCAAATGAAACTTACCCCTAGTATGCCTGTCCCACTCTACCAAGTAGTGTTTTGGGAGGGTGGAATGCACACTCATTTCATCTCTACCCCTAGGGGTAGAGAGTCTGCTTCCGCAAAGACGAAGTTTTGTAAGATTTTATAAATTGAAAAAACTTCAAATTTTTTGATTTTTTAAAAATAGTTTTATAAATTTTTTGCAGTAGAAAAAAAGACAACGAAGGATCAAAGGTAGTGTGAACAGTGTGGTAAAAACTGTCCAAGTAATCAAGGAGGACAATACAGCAAAAAGTTGGTACTAAAGTAGCTAAGTGAGCAAGTTACAGCTAGTAGGAAGATACCCAAAATTGGCAAAGGATCTTTGAAAGAGCTGTTCAGAATACTTAAGACGAAGAAGAGTTTAGATTATATGAATGGAATTAAATACATCATTGTTCTCCCTTTTTTGCTCCGTCTATCAAAAGCTAACTTCTAACAAACTACTGGGTTGTTGTTGTATGGATGGGATATCAGTATTGTGAAGAACACTCCAAAACATTTTATTTCAGGATCTTAGCATCCTAAATGTTGGTGTAGTTTTTAAGTACTTGTAAGAGTTACATTCAGACCACCTCAGGCAGAAAGAGGAGAAAAGATTGTGCTTTGTCTTTCTTTTTTAATGGCACTTTTTGTTTTTTGAGCTATTGACCTGCTGCAATTATGTTTTGAGATGTTTTAACAATAAAGCATTGTGGAGAGGAACAATAATGGATCAATTTTTAGGGCAGTATTTATACGCTATTATGCTGGATGACGCTTTGAGATGTTCTCTAAGGATTTCTTTTTTTTCCCAACTAAAAGTAAAAAAAATTTAGGATTTTGTTGCTTTTTGAAATAATTTATGTGAAAGGTACTGGAGTGAAATAATACATGTCCTCATTGGCGCGTTTATAACCTGTCAAACTCTTCTATCTTTGCAGGAACTGCTGGATTTGGGGGAGGCAGTTGGAACACAAAGTCGAGGTCTTCCAAAAGAGCTAATCGATCTCCTTCCAACCTCTAAATACAAGGCCAGCTGGATTTTCTCGAAAAAAAGATGTGGAGAGAGGTACTACTTTGATCACAATGAGAAATGGACAATCCAACCATTGCTGAGTTCATTTATCTGTGAAATTCTTTATCTCTCTCACTTTTTTCTTTTGCTGCTTGGGGGAAACCACCAGATGTGTCATCTGTCAAATGAAGTACAAACGAGGAGACCGCCAAATGAACTTGCCATGCAAACACGTGTACCACTCTGATTGCGTCTCCAAGTGGCTGGGCATTAACAAGGTAAGAAACCGCCTCGTCTCTTGCCTTAATTTAAAAGATAAAAATGGGAACATTTTTAATGGTTTTATCACACTTTGATTTTATAGACATGCCCGGTTTGCAATGCCGAAGTTTCACTTGATGACCAAGCCAACCCTTGAACCAGAGAAAGACCCAAAGTTAGTCTTAGGAATTTGGAGTGACCGTGTGCGTCATAGTGAAAGGTAAGCAATTACTTTGTCCGAAGGCATTGGACTTTATTTGTTTAGGAACTACGGAGTAGTCGTGCTAGGGTAGCCCCAAGATTTTGGGGTTACCATGACTCCAAGCTTTGCACAAACAATTATTGTCTATGCGGCACAGACCATAACTGTTTAATGGTGCATGTCTGTGCAAAGCTTGGGGCCATTGTAACACTGTGTGTGTAAAGCTTGGAGTCATGGTAACCCTAAAATGTTGGGGTTACCCTAGCTTTATTCCTACGGAGTACTGATTTTGGAAGTGATTTTCTCACTTCAGTCACTTTGTTTTTGCCAGACATGCCAAATGGAGGTAATCTTTCGACGAAATCTAACGGGGCAGACAGCCAAATTAGAGCATAAAAACAAGTGATTTTTGCTGCAAAAGTTTCTTTTAGGGCTTAATGCAATAGTTTTTCTCTTTTATTGAAGTTTGAATTTAAATCTTGTCTTTCTGCTCACTTGTTTCTAGAAGTAGTGATCTCTCCATGAAAAAAAACACATACATTTGTTTAGGAGTATTATATGTAGGAGTGTTTATTAAGAGCTCTTTCTTTTTTCCTTAAAGATTCAAATGACATCACTGCTCACCTATATAGGCTGTGTTTGGTTCAGCTATTTGTAGTTGTTGTTAGGGCATATGCTGATTTTTTTTGTTTTTTTTCATCTTTTTGAATTTGTGGTGTTTGTGTGAGTTGATGATGTTATGATGTACTCCCTAATATAAATTACTAGCATAAAATATGAAATATTTGAGGTAGCTAAATATTAGGAACTATTTTGAAATATTGAGGATATTTTTGAAAGTTTCATTTGAACGCCTACCATGATTTCAACCGTTCAAAATTTGAGCGGTTGGGTAACGTTTGAAATTCTTTGTGCTTTGTACTCTCAAAAAAGAAAATATGTCACTTTTCACTCTCAAAAAAATGAATTAACAAGTTCAAAATGCTTGAAATTTTTAGTAGCATTGTGGTAATTCAAGCTTTGCACCCAATAAGTCATTGTCACTTTACACCCCTCTAGAAAGTATTCCTTCTTCTCAATTTAAATTATCTTATAATTTTGATTGAAGTTTTTTTGTAATTCAATATATATAAAGTTTGGGTGGAATTGAAAAATTATATATATAACGGGCCGAGCGTGGTGCGAGTTTGTGGGGAGTGGTAGCGGAGATGTTGGGGTAATAGAGACAACCGAAGACTCGAAGGTGAGAATATGAGGGTGAGGAGTTGTTAAGAGTTACATGAGGGGTTTTATTGTTTAAAGTGGTGGTAGGAAGGAGGTTAAAAAGATGGGCTGCCATGTGAAGTGCATCAACCCAAAAGGAGGGTGGTAGTTGGGCTTGAAAGAGAAGAGTGTGTACAGTGTTGTTGATGGTGCGCTCAACTCGTCCGTTTTGTTGACTAGTGTGGCGGCAAGAGAAACGGAAGAGGATGCTTAAGGAGTCAAAAATGTTTCTAAGAGGTGAGTTTCGATATTCAGTTCCATTGTCACATTGTACTTTAATTGTGATATTAAAATGATTTTTATATATATGCGACAAAAGAAGTTAAGTGTTGGAATACATCACTTTTATGTCTTAAAGGAAACACCCACAGGTAATGAGAAAAAACATCTATCAAGAGCATATAAAATTTAAAACCAGTTAAAATTGAAACAGGAGATTGCCATAAGTCTGTATGTAAAAGCTGAAAAGGGAAAGTAGAGACACGACCTAAGGAAGAAAATAGGAGGCGCACATGTTTTCTCAATTGACACGTATGACATAAAGTATGTTGATAACTTCTAAAAAAAGGAGAGAGATAAGAGACGCCATAAAGGACGGCTTGGCTTGGGTGGCCTAAGCGCTGATGCCAAGTCTGAAGATCGATAGCGGCGACATTGGCTTGAGCGAGTGCTAGTTGTCCTAGAGGGTAGAGGGGTCCCACATTATTGGATCGATGCATCATGATTCCCGTCGGACGATCCTTCACATAAAAACCATGAGCATCAAATTCAATAGTGTAGTTATTATCACGGGTTAGTTGGCGAACAGAGACAAGATTGTGAGTAATGTGGGGAGAAACTAAAATGTTATTGAGGGACATGGGAGGGGCGCTAGGAAGAGTGTGGCTACCAAAAGCCGTAGTGCGAACCTTGGATCCACTACCAACAGTGATGTAAGGTGGAGAATAAAATGTTTGAGAAGAGACATGAGAAAGAGTACTTGGGTTAAAAACAATGTGATGAGAGGCACCGGTATCCATAAACCATACGGGCTCGCGAAGGGACATTGTGTCAAAGTGGTGATGAGCTAGGGTTGTGGGTGTGGGTGGGGTTGTTTGAGCTGTCGGGTAAGGATGGGTGGGGGTACTGCCCTACGGCAGGGGTGGGGGGTATGTTACGGCATTTGGGGTAGGGTAACGGGTTGAAGCCATGGGGTATGTGTATGGGTTTGGGTTTGGGGAGGTAGTGTAGTATGCATGGGCTGGGTAGGGGTAGGGTGTGGTTGTGGGGTTGGACCCAACAACCCCGGGTTAGTGTTAGGGTAAAGTGAGTTCCAGGTGTTTTGATGCCCACGACCTCGACCCCGATATCCACCGCTACGTCCTTGGCCACGTCTCTAGCCACCACGCTATCCGGAGGAGCCATCACCAAAGTTGATGCCGCCATGCTGTCTGCTGTGGGAAGAGCCGCGAGGGCCTGGGTTGCCGCCGCCGTGCTACCCACTAGATCCATCGAATGAAGGGGCGCTCCTGGCCTGAGATGCAAGTAGCGCGGTACCACCAGAGTCGACCAGGGGTGTGTTGATTGTCTAGTAGCATCAAGGCAGATTTGACCTTGAGAAACGTCGGCATGAGATCCTGAAATATAAGAAAGGATGTCTAAGCCTGAAGATCCGCTGGAAGCCCACGTAGCATCTGAAGAAGAAGTTGATTTTGGACACTGGTGCATCAACATCATCCAACCAGTCGGCCAAATTTTGGAGATGTTGGCAATAGGTCACCATGGGGGTATTGCCCTTGATAGTGGTGCAAAATTCATGTTCTAATTGCATGGCCTAGGCATGTTTGTTGTCGTGAAACAAGTCATGAATGACCTTCTAAAGAGCTGAAGCAGTGGAGACAGAAGAGACTACCAGATCAGAGACCTCATCAGTGATTGTGGAGAGAATCCATCCTTGAAGAAGAGCATCAATTTGGAACCATTTGTCGTCGTCATCAGAGGTGGGGACGACAGAGCCTGTGAGATGACCGTGGACATTGAAGCGTCGAACAAGGAGGCGGAACAGACGACTCCCTTTTTTGTATGTGGGTTGAGTGAAACTGAGTTGAAGAGGCATGGGAGGCCCGGAGGGTGTGCAAAGTGGCCAACCGCACAGGGAACTTTAAAATTTAGGGTACCATATTTTTAAATTTGTTAATAATTTTAAAGCAAAAGTATTCTAAAAATATAAAATAGGGCACAAAATATAAATTTTGGACCGGGCCAATTTTATTTTTTCATTTTTCGGGGCCGGCCCTGTGAAGAGGGACATGTGATTTAACATTAGAGGCGGTGGTGAAAGCAAGGTGATGAGATTTGGAGGAAAAGGGTTGAGACGTGACCTCACTTTCGGTCATCGTGAGGGAGAGAGGTTGTGTCGGTCGGCGAAGGAGAGGGATGGCCAAAAAACTGGGAAGGAAGACTAGGGTTTTTGGTTAGGCTCTAATACTATGAAGAAGAATTATTTTTATTGATTTAATTATATAAAGAGAACATGTATATATACTAAGAGTCTCAATCCTAAATAAAGTAGGAGAGACATACTCCCTCCGTCCCGGAGTATTCGTCCAGTTTTGACTTTTAGAACTGTTTATCTAAGCACTTTGACTTATCAAATTCTCTCAATGTGTAAGCCTAAATATAGTCATGTGTAATCTTGTTTGATTTGTCTTAACATATAGATTATTAATATATAATTTCTATAATTTTTTAATATACAAATTATAAGATAAAATGGATTAAAGAAGTGCATTGGATGATGTGTAAAAATGAAAGTGGACAAATACTTTGGGACGGAGGTAGTAATAGGAAGCCTATACAAGTTTGGTAACAATAATAATATAATAATATTAAATATATTTTATATATTTAACACTAAGCCAATCTTGAAATGAACACGTACTTTTTTATCATATCTAATTTTTTTATTTTGTATTTTTTGTATTTTTATTTTTTCTTTTCATTTTCTCATTTCATTTATTTTATTTGTGTTTTAAATTTTTAAAAATTTAGTTTTTTACATATATCTGTAGAGAAAAAGAATAAAGAAATTAATTTTTTCTAACAGTTATGTCTAAAGGCTACTACCTTTGGCTTTCCAGACCAAGAGGTCATTTAGCATATTTTATGGCTAATTTACTTAAATAAGACTAAAATATAATGACTTTCTTAATATTAGACCATATGTTTTTATTTCCCAATATAGGACCATTGGTCATTATCTATTAATCATTATTCAAACTAAATGTCCAGCATCACTTGGACATTATTTTTCTCTTTAGTTATTATTAAGTCCTATTTAAAAAATAAAAAAATTTAAATTTTACACTAAGAAATGACTTATGCTTTAGTTCTATTTAATGCAAATTTCACTATTTTAATTTTCGCTCCTTAGTTGGTCAAAATAACGAGTCAAAAAAGCTAAAATTACTTGTGGAGCTGTCAAATCTGAGAGTTTAGATAGAGGGAATACAATGTTATTGACCATTCATCTACAGAATCCTCTTCCGTTGTAGAAGTATCCAGAAGCTACACGTACCAATCCTCTTCTTGGGCATACTTCGTACCCTTTTTTAATTAAGTACTCCTTCCTACACACATGTTCGAAAATGTGTCTCATTTTTCTTATTCTACCTTTTTCAATCATTATTATACATATATCTCCCAACCACATCAATTAAATTAAATGGATGTCACTCTCCGAACGTACAACCTTTTTCAATCATTTTTATATATACTTTAAAATTATTTTAATTATATATTGATATAGAAATAAAAAATATAAATCACACTGTTCAAAAATATATAGAAAGCTATATAAAAGAAGAAGTAACAAAAATATTTTATTTTATCAAACTATCAATAAAAATATACAAATAAATAAAAGTTATTAATTATCCTTAATAATAACAACATTATTTATTTTGAAACGAATGAAGTAATTTTCTATTTGTGTCTATTGCGGAGAGTAGGACTGTAAACAGATATTAATCAGATGAGATGTATCATTACCAGATCTGTATGTGTTTATTTTTATCGGATATCGAATAAGATCTTGGCGGATATTAAAAATCAAAACCGTATCCGCATCCGTCGGATGCCGATCATATACGAATAGCCATTAGCAAAAGCCCAAAACATCCTTCTTTCCCAATCTGGTCGTTCATCTCCTACTCTACAATACTTTAGAATTCGGAATTTTATTTTATTTTTTATTTTTAAATTTGATGTTTTTTAAATAATTGATGATCCAAAAAAGTTGATTTTCGAATTCAATAACTTCAACTTTGAGAAAAAAAATGGAGATTTCGCGATATAATTTAGTGCTGGGACTATGATTTTGCAATGTAACTTAACGGCGTTAACGCACCAACATTTTGTGTCAGTGTAAACCATCAACAATGTTCAGCGACTAAGGCAGCGGCGGCTTAATCTCCAGTACAACGGCGCTGCCACGACATCTCTGATTTTTTTGGCCCAAAATGGTTTATTTTCAGCGGCGAGGTGTGTTTTTTGGTCTGATGGATAGAACACCTAATCTTGAGTATAAAAGTTCTTCGCTTTTTTTTTCTTTTTCAAACACTTCTAATTCATAGATTTCAAAACTCACACCGCCACACTCCTTTCCTCTTAAAATTACACTTATTTAATTTACAATATTTAACAAAATTTCAAATCAATATAATTAAAAATTGGTGGAGAATTAAATATAAAATGATATACTCCCTCCGTCCCTGAGTGTTTGTCCACTTTCATTTTTGCACATCATCCAATGCACTTCTTTAATCCATTTTATCTTGTAATTTGTATATTAAAAAATTATAAAAATTATATATTAATAATCTATATGTTAAGACGAATCAAACAAGATCACACATGACTATTTTTAGGCTTACACATTGAGAGAATTTGATGAGTCAAAGTGCTTAGATGAACAGTTCCAAAAATCAAAAGTGGACAAACACTCTGGGACGGACCAAGTATTAAAAAACTATGGGGACAATATTATTTTATTTCATCACATAATCGATGAAAATATATAAAGAAAACAGAATTAGTTTGATATGTAAACAACAATCGGGAGCCGTTTTGTTTTTTAAGATATACAGAGTATGATTTCTTCAATAATTCAAAACTCATATCCTATGATACTCCGTATATCGTATCTTCACACACTCAACGTGCCCTTAATTTGTTTGTCACAAGTAATTATTTATTTATAAACAATTTATTAAAGTGCTTCTTTCCCTATGATCACATCGTATCTTCATACACACTCAACGGGCCCTTAATTTGCTAGTCACAAGTACGTAGTAATTATTAATTGGATTAAGCTATATGTACCCCAACATTTATACCCTAATTTGTACCCGTAAGTTTGCACCAACATTTTATGTTGGTGTAAAACTAATTTTTGTTAACGCACAGACACTTTGTGTCTGTGTAAATTTTTGTTAACGCACCAACATTTGTGTCGGTGTAAACCATCAAAATGCTTATGTATAACTGTAATGTACAAATGAGGTACATTTTTTGGTGTAAATGTAACATGATCCATATTAATTTATAAACGATTTATTAAAGTGCTTCTTTCGTTTGTTATTCTTAACTACTAAACAACTTATTAAAGAATTCATTTCGTATTATTTTATTTTTTCACGTAATATAAGAAAAACAAAATTATTTGGTTGGAGATAGAGAGAATTCTTTTTGAAGAATGAAAAGCTTATTTTGAAAAGGGTCAAAAAAAATAAAGGGACGAAAGAAATACGGAGTACCTTTTTACATAATGACTTAAAAGATGAATAGTTTGAAGATACTCCTTCGTCCACCTAAGATCTTCGCGTTACGAGACTTGACCAACTTTATTTTCAATTCAATTTATTTGAATATAAGAGTAAAATTTTAGTATAAAATATATGTAGTAATAAACTACATGAAAAGTTCTACAAAACTAGAGGTGACAACACTATATTATTTAATGAAATGAATAGTAAAAATAAATAAATAAAGTGAAATAAATTTGACCCTATGAATAGTTTGACATAGGAAGTATTCATTAAAATTAAGGAAAAGTCTTGAAAATGAATATTCATTTATACAAAAATGAGTATTTAGTTATTCGAAAATTAGGTAATTGAAAACGTCGAAAACGTTATTTTCCCTAAATCAACAAAAGAATAAGACAAGAAAAAGAAATCATTCACAAAGGATTACACTGTATTCTCTTCATCATGTACAAGAACAACAAATTCTTTTCTCAGGAATTAAAAAAACTCCCACCAGTCCCACCAAATTCATCATAAAAAGCAAAATAACCCAGAAACTCAAGAGATGAAGTTAGAGCCCAAAAACAGGCGCAGCAATATCTACAGGAATTCCAAATTGACAGAAAAGCAACAATAACCTACCTTCCAGAAACAGAAACCGAATTCCGAATCAGAGAATTGAAGATCCTGGACCAAGCGCGCCTGAGGCGAGGATAAACCCTCCCGGTGTAAGTCCTCGATTCCCTGCACAGATCCTCCACGATCTCCACAAACAGATTCAAGCTTCTCACCGGAGGGATGTACAGAGTCAAAGGAACGGCCGAGAACGCCACGCCGAAGAACATGTGCAGCATCTTCGCTGAATCGCCTTCCGCTCTCCTTCGTCCTTCGCTCTGCGCGGCGGAAATGACGGCGGAGATTCCGATTCGAGCAAGGAAGAAGATGATCGGAGGGGTTTGGTAGGTTCTAGAGGATTTCTAGATGTGTGTTACGAGTTTTTTTGTGCTTCAGCGAAAAAGATAAAGACTTGGGGTCGGGGATTCTCTAGTGTGCAGAAGCGAACCGGGTTAGCTTTTAGTCTGATCTTTTCCAATTTCGTCTTTATACAACAAAAAAAACCTTATGTTTATGTTTGGAGAATATTGTAATTATATTGATCCAATGTGTGAAAATGAGTACTACATTATTTTAGCCACACTAATTATAATTATGCGAGAATGAGTACTACCTAGATGTACGATACATCCGGTTGTACCATATACCTTCTCAAGAAAATGAGATGAAAGAAATTGAAAAAGAAAATGCAGAGAAAATGCATGTTGTTTTAATTAAGGAAAAATTATCTAGAATAATCTTTTTTGAATGCATCTAGAATAATCTTGATTTTACACAATCTTTCAAAATAATACTCTTTGTCTTGGAAAAATTGTTGGATTTGACTTTTTGGCATTTTGAGGGAAGTATTTTTTCGTCTTTGACTTTCCAATATTACCTTTAGGGTTAGAAAAAATAAAGAGATATTTCAAATTAATGAATAGTGATAAATAAGTGGGAAAATTATTTAATAACGAAAGAAGTACACAAGTCCATCACGAATTCTACCAATTTCAATTCATTTTTTACACTATCAATTCTAAATTCACATAATTTTTGTGCTTCCAAATACTAGAATTAGAAATGAAATCTTTAATTCTAATTCCATAGTTTGAATTCGGTGTACCAAACGCGACATTATGGAATTTACTCAATTTTCAATTAGTTTGTAGGATCAAGATATTGGTTCTGTGCTCACCCCTATTACAAAACTGTTTTCAACCTTTCCGCATTTCTTTCGTTCACTGTCCGCCGTCTGCAATTCAGATCCGACGCTCCCACACAGGCGGCACAGCCCTGAGGGCCTGACTTAGTGACTCCCTGAGCCCGCCGCAATCCCTCAAACTCTCAAACCAGTAAGTTTTTTATTTTCATCTTTTTGATTTTCTATTTCTAATTTTAATTTTATTGAATTTTTTTAGTTTTCTCCCATTACTTTATTAAGTTCATTTGATTCAACTTCTGTTATCGTTTAAAATAAAAATATTGAAGATTGAATGAAACTATTGCGGAAAAAATCACCCATTCACCCCTCAAAAGTCTAACTGAAGTTGTATTTTTCTGCCCTCATACTTTTGATAATTTGAATTTTATTAAATTGTTACATCTGTTTGGACAATGCACTTAAAAATAGTGATAAATGTGATGTTAATGGCTATGATTTGCATGCAGAGTTGAGATTACTCCAAGTTTTTTTGCTCAAGGAGAAGTTAGGAACTGTTGATATTTTAAAATTATTGAAACATGTTGATTGCTTTTCTAATTGCATGACATGGAAACCCCATGTCATTTGAACCTTGCCGTTATCGCATATAGGATATTGTTAACCATTCGAGTATGACAGTTGCAAGGTGAAAATGTTTTTCAAAGTTAAAATTTTCAAGTCTTATTTGCGTTGTTTCGTAGTCCTATGTCATAGGAAGGAGTAGGACTTACTAGACCTGTTTTGATGACCATAAAGAATGAGTTTTTTTTATAAAACTGTTTGTGAAGATTTGATCAAATTAAATGGTTTTCTTCAATGAATGCTCGGAATAAAAAATCAAGTGGTCAATTTGTAAGTTCATAATTTATGCATTTTATACTTTATTAAAAGAAATTAATTTTGTTCATTAAGGTAATAAAATATACTTGCGAGGGCCCATATTTCATATTTCCATTTTTGCTCAGGGCCTATAAATTTTGTGAGACGGCCCTGAAAATTGTCCATTTTGGGTTTTAGCTTGAGGGAAATTTTTTAAAATATTTCTTGAGTTTGTTAGCCGAGCAAGATAAAGAACTTTTTGCTGCACTGCTGCAGAGTAGTACCCAATCTGGATTGAATGGTGCCAGATAATGAATTGTGAACTATTGTATAATGAATTGTGAACTAGAGTAGTATCCAGTTTCTTTGATAATGAATTGTGAACTATTGTATAAATAGAATAGAAAATGATCTTTTTTATACTTATAGCACTCCATGTACAATATTCTTACAGTGTATTTTATTATGAAATATAAATTGTGAGTTGAATTATTGTTTAGAAGTATCCGAGGCTTTAGAGATATATTCAGCACTCCGCATTATTTATATTGAAGCTGTTTCTTCATTTGGTTTTAGCAGATCTTCTAAGACTAAAATGATATGTATGGGTACACAAGTACTCCATCAGTCCCTATTTAATCTTCTTGTTTTGAATTACAGAGTATGATTTATATCTAAGTTATTTAAATATTGGTGTACAATTTAAAAATATTATATGTACTTTAGAAAAATACATCAAAATGTATATGGCTAGAAAAAGAAAAAATTGCAGAAATATTCTACAAATGTTGGATTTTACTTGAATACTCCCAAAATCAATTAATGATACCATTATTCCCACAATTGTTCTCTTTTTTAATAAATACTCTGCCTGCCACCTCACTTTCTCAATCATCTTGTGGAATGTTTACATGGATTTTAAAATTGACGACCTGGCAAATGAAGTACTTATTCCTCCCAAACCCATTTGTATGCTTCTTTTCCAATTGAATTATGCAATTGCATCCTCATACTCTTTTATTACAACATATTCAATTAATATGCTACTAACTTTTATCAATTAAACACACTAACAAGTCTAAAAAATGAAATAGGGAGTACTATAAACCCATCAAATAAAATTATACTCCAAATGCAGTTAAAGATTTTCTTATTTAAGTCATGCTAGAAACCTACCAAGGTTGGCCCCAAGTGTTTCAGAGACATATATATAGTCATCATTTGTGATGCACAGACAATCACTATTTGTGATGCACTTGGTGTCAAACTTTTAATCTTAAACACTTGAGGGCTGGTGGGTTTCTAGCATTTTTGTTGTTCTTTATTTTCTAATTCTTAACTCCTAACATTATCATATTCTTTCCTACTCCTTTTGGTATCTTCTTTCTTTTTCCAATTCCTTCCAACTTTTTCCAATTACTATCGGAAATGGTTTTGCCCTTTTCTGTCCCTGTGGTTAGTATGTCTTAATGTATCACTTACTGTGTGAACTTCAGTTTTGTGTTTTATTCTTATGGATCCTTATTTTGTAATTAACATTGTGTGCCCAACATGCTCCAATGTTTGTAGTATTTTGACATGCTTTTGCTTTGTTTTATTTTTTACTCACTTCACATTATTGAACGAGTCGCGAATGATTCCTAAACACCTACTGTAATGCGGAGTATAGGTTAGTGCATGTTCTCTTTGTCTGAACATATTGGTTTTGATATGAATTTTTAAGGTTTGGTCTTGTTTGATCTTATTCTAGTTAAATTTAAAGTTCATTCTCAATCTTTCTAACCCGATCAAAAAACATTCTGATCTTATGTGGTCTAATCTGATTCCAATAAGAATAAGTAATAAGTAGCCCCTTTGTTTTTTAAGATTCCTTTTTTTACCGAAAGTTGATTGCGTACTAATCAAAGCTTATAATCTTTGCCTGCTACAGTAAAGTGTGCATCGATTAAAATTTTAAATCTTAGGATGTGAGATGCGACACAATAAAACACGGCTATCTTGTTTTGAGGATTATTCCGTACTAGTTTTCACATAATTGTGCTTTCACTATTGTTGTCACTATTTTATGCCCAAAAAGGATCCAAACATAAAATGAAATGGCTTACTGGGTCACAATTTCCTTCAAATAATCAGATATAAGAATATGAATCCACCCTTTTCTGAGTCAGGCATTACAAAACACTTTGGTTAATCTTTTAATATCCAGTAAATTACTTCCAACATATAATCACAGGTAAATGTGCATTTCCTATTCTTATTTACAACTTGTTCTATAGTCAACTATGCATTAATTTTATTTTATTGCTAGTAGGTATAATTTAACTCGGAGCTATTTATCTTAATCATAGAAGGTAGTTTCAATTCTTTACATTTGTGTTGAATTCATTACACTTTATACAATTTTTAATTTATGATATAGTGGTTATTTTAAAGAAATTACCCTAAATAGGAGTAAAACATTGAGAAAGTACCAAAATAGAAGCTCCATGTTTTCATCTCTTAAATTGGAGTTCACACTGGGGTAATGTGACATCATACGTAGACATTTCACAATATTTTTTTGGTAATGTATATAGTCATGATTGACACTGTAAACGCATTTTAACTCCTATTTCGAAAATAAAAATACAGAACTATTTTGGTATATTTTCAATGTTTTACCCTAACTTAAGTCTTTTTCCCTTTATTTTAGCCTACGACTATTGTATTTGTCTTATATCTTGGTAGAACTAAGAAGTGGTCTGTGATTGGTCATGATGCAAGTATTTTGCTGGTTTTTAATGCTGATAAATTTTTTTTAAAAAGTGGGTTGTTTTTTAAAATAGATTCTTCATTTTTTAAGTGGTGTACAAAAACTGTAAACTGATTCTTTTTTTTTTGAACCGGTATTCCAAAAAGGAAAGGCGTAAAGCCGTAAACTGTGTCTTAAAACTCGTCATTCTAAGCAGTCGTCTATAAATGCCTATTTGCTAAGAATTTGGCTGGTGTTTGAAATTGCTTCTTTGTTTTTAAAAATGTTTTTCTTTGTTTTTAAGTGGTGTACAGAGTTTAAATTGCTTCTCTATTGTTTTGACCGGTCTACCAAAGTGTAAACAGTTTTTTTTAAAACTGTTTATCTGTCTTTCGAAGCGGGTGTCCTAAATTTGGGTAGAAGTAAGAAGATGTCTGTGATTGTTTATTTCCTAAGAAGTAGGTAGAGCTATGAAGTTGGTAATTTGTTTTTAGAAGTGGTTTACAAAAAATCAGGTAATCTAGTTCTTTGTTTCTAAACATGGTGTACAAAGTAAACTGGTTAATTGTCTTTTGGACGGGCTAAAACTAATGTACTTCTACTTTTTTTAAAATAAAATGGGTACTTCATTAAAATGAAATTGTTAACTGTAGGCATTCTTTGTGCATACGGCAGTAGGGTTGTTCATCATTAGGTCCAGACCGAAAAAATGGACCGAACCGGACCTATAGGTCCGGACTGAACCCGGACCGAAAGCATTTAGGGTCGGTCTTAGGTCCAAGATTTTTAAGGATTTAGGTCTCGGTCCGGTCCGGTCCAAACCCAATATAATTTAGGTCTGGACAAAAAGACCTATTACTTATACACTACAAATTTTATTCGGTCACTCCTCAGCCTCTCATTTACCTAGAATATATCTTCTTCTCTGCTTATCTTCTAGGGATTTCCATTCTCTCCCTGCATCCACACTCCGCATGAGTGATTAGCTGGAAATCTCCATCTCTGCTGGTTGCATGTGAGGTTGATGACCCAGGTTTGCCCGTTTAAGAATATTGTATTTATCAGAGTGATGATTAAGATTCAATCCAAATGATTTAGCAAAAAATTCCCACACCTGTGGAATAGATTTCGCAGAGGGTCTGCTTTTGGGAGGACAAAATGTTTTGAGTATTTTTTTGTTTCATTAGCATTATTGTACATGGAGTGTTTTCAAAAGATTATTTTCCAGCTTATTTTGAACTTATACGATTTTAGTGTTTGGTCATTGGTAGCCACAAGCATTAAAAAGGATTTGATAAGCACTTTTTTTAAGCCACCTAATACATAATCCAAAAGCAAGTTCATACCTACTTTGTTACTTGTTTTCTCATACATATTTTATTGACACTTTGGTGTTCAGGCCTAATTATGTTTTTTACTCATATGTTAAGCATTTGATCAATTTTGGTTTGCAAACACTCATATTTGATCCAGCAGAAACTTAAATTAACAAGCACTGCAAAAACAATGCACTACCAGATTTTATATTTAATTTTTCAAATATATATCCCACAAAAGCAAAATTGAAAATTTTATTTTTCAAAAACACCACATCAAGACTTTATAGTGGTTCAGTTCACTCTTGTACGATATTGAAATATTTGGTTCCTTTATGTCATGTATGGTTCAACACATGTTTTTGGTCTTGAAAATTGAGTTCCATGGGCAGGCAAAGTTTCTATACTACATTTTCCTGCATCCCAATAGGTTATAATGTTACTAATTACCATATAGACATCTTTTTGAAATTTTGTTTAAGTTTGTAACATGACATGACACATTGGCGTCGTTTGATCCATTTAGCCTACCCCACCTAGTGGGATAAGGCTTTGTTGTTGTTGTTGTTGACTTCCGAGTTTGTTCCTATAATAAGTGGTTGGGAGTAACTAATGGCAGTGGTTGGTGAAATTAAATGGAATTAAGCAAAAACTCATTTATCTCCATAAAAGGTTCATTTGGTTGATCAAGCCACTGAAGAAAATGTTAGGATATGTTGATGCAATCTGCCATTGATAAGAATAGAAATGAGCTTTTGTGAAGTTTGTTGCTCTAAGACTAAAATGATTGAGCCTAGCTAAAGATTCTAGATCTTTCCATTTAACTCACCAATGGCTAAATTCCGAGAACATACCCTCAAATCATTTTTATTATCAACAAGGTCCTTGATTTGAACAACCTGTACTAGGATAGTGAGCAAACAAAATGGATGGCTTTACCATTAAGATGAGCTTGATTACAGTACTTGTCCTTCATAAAGGATGACCACATGGAGTACCTAGTTATATGTGAATATAAGTTCTGGTGATTATAAAAATAAGCTCATATAAGTTAGCATAGTACACATTAAGATTCTTATATGAGCTCATTTTTATAATGTTTCAAATTAGTTATGATGTGCACACTTTTTAATGTACCAGATATGAGTTTATTTTTATAACGTGGAATATATAAGATGTAAATGAAAAGTTAGGGAAAGCTTCTCTGATTGCAGCTTCTCTGATGGCAGCAAAAAGCACAAGGCCTACCCGATTTTGATGGCAGCTTCTGTGAAAGCTACCCACTTCCTGCAGCTAAAGATTAACCAGTGCCAACATCCCCTTTTCACCCACTCTCGAGAAAGGATCAGGGTTTCTCCCAAACTACTGAGGCCAGCCATGGCCGCTCTCAGCACCACCGCAGCTGCAGGCCTATCCGAAACTTTCGTCAGACTCAAGCAACAAGGCAAAGTAAGGCAACCACTCCTTGATTTCAATGACACCAAGCTGGGATCTTTTTCCACGTCCTACTTCCCCCTATTTCACAATTCTTATGGGGTGAAATTTGCTACAGCATAATATAAATCTAAATTCTCTAAAAGTAAACAATTGGAATTTCAATTTTGAAAGTTATATACTCCACTTAAGAGGGAAATTTGTTTATAAACCGCTCGTGTGGAAAAGATCTATATATTTTTGGTCTGGATGGGGCTCGTACACCAAAGATTGTTACATTATGGAAACCCTTTGGCTGAATTAAGTATTCTGTATAACTTGATGGCTGCGTCGATTGAGAATGGAGCTAAAAGAGTCATTTTGGACAATCTTTTAGCTTTGAGTAAATAATGGACCAGCTTCATTTGCTTTCCTACTTCCAATGAAGTTTTGGATAGTAAATGCAACATATAAAAATGACACATCAAACATTGCTTCTTGCTCAATGAAGTTTTAGGTCGGGCTAATAGTTGCTTTGTATTGCTGTTGTTTGTAAAACATGATGACCATTTTGCCTCGAGAACCATTGAAAGATAAGAAATTATTCTAGCTTGTCTTTATTTTTCTTATTTTCTTTGTACTAACAACAGTCATTACACTCTCTAAGGTGGCATTGATTCCATATATAACTGCTGGTGATCCTGACCTATCAGTAACTGCAGAAGCACTTAAAGTTCTTGATTCTTGTGGTTCAGACATAATTGAGCTAGGAGTTCCTTATTCTGATCCTCTAGCTGATGGCCCAGTTATACAGGTTCAAGAATATGTTGCTATCTTTAGCAGTGCTCTAAGTTCTCTGCTTAAGCGCTAAGCCTCCCCTTGCCAGTTTCCACCAACAATTCAATTTATCCTGTGTTTTTCCTGCCTAAGATAACTAAGGGCTTGTTCTCTTTAACTTATCTGATTGATTAAGTTCTCATCTGATTGTAGTTATATTTTAAGCCGTTTCTAATCTGATTTGATCTGATTCCAATAAGAAATAAGAATAAGTAATAGATAAAAAGAATAAGTTCAAGAGAACAAACTCTAAGGCCCTGATAAATCCCTTTCTAAGGGCGCCTAGGTGTTAGGCCATAGTCTAATGCGTAGGGGATACCTAGTGTTTTTTAAAACACTGATCATTGGTTAATTCCGTTTTTGTCACATTGATATAACCTCAATTTTCCATTTTCAATTTCACTTTCTCAGGCTGCTGCTACTCGTTCACTGCAGAGAGGAACCAATTTTGACAAAATAATCTCAATGTTAAAAGACGTAAGTTAATTGATCTATCCATGTATAGCTTAACAATGCAAGCCACTATACCAAAGCCTGACTGGCTTCCATGCGTTGGGGAACATCCTACAACAACAACAAACCCAGTAGAATTCCACAGAGGATGATCTTGGTAGGGTGAGTATATCCTAGTCTAATACCAAAGTGCACATGTAGAAAACACAAAGGCAACAACTCCCACTCTGGGCAAAGCACTACCCAAAGCCTAACCTACCACCTAATCTTTGACCTCCACAAGCTCCTATCTAAGGCTATATCCAAGTTAGTTCTGGAAAATGTAAGTCGTGTCTGATGACCTTGCTCCATCTCTCTTATACCTCTGCCACTACTCCTCCCGTCCCCTACCACAAGCCTTCACACCTCACCAGAGAGTCCCACATTGAACAACTTTTTATTAAACTGTAATTGCTTTCTACATGGATCAATCCCTACATGTCTTTGTTTCAGTAATTTAATCTAGTTTTGTTCTCGGGTTTTTATTATATTGTCAATTGTGAATTGTCCTTCATGGACTCCTAATATTATGCAGTTTAATTTTCCCAGGTTGTTCCTCAATTATCCTGCCCAATTTGCTTGTTCACCTATTATAACCCTATTCTTAAGCGCGGGATTGAAAAGTTCTTGGACACTGCTAAAGATGCTGGAGTACATGGTAAACTCCTTTTTGTTTACACGATTTGTATATGATATATGAACTTACCTTAATATGACTGCATTTTTTTTCCAGGGCTAGTGGTTCCGGATGTCCCTCTTGAGGAAACTGAGATTTTGAGAAAGGAAGCTTCTAAGAAAAAGATTGAATTGGTTTGTTTTTCTTTTGAACATCCATGTTGATGCTTCAAACTTTGGAGAACTTATAGCCTATATAGGCTTCATCTCATAGTTGAAAGGAGATAATAATTTAGGCAAAAAATGCCATGATGCAGTTTCATACAATTCGTACGAATATTGCTGCTGCATCTTTTAAATGGGATATGTGATGTCTGAGTTTTACCACTTTTATGTTCATGTTTTGATTCGGCACAATTTTAATATCTGTGCTATTTTAGGTGTTGCTCACAACGCCAACCACCCCAACAGCTAGGATGAAAACAATCGTCGAATCTTCTGAGGGGTTTGTGTACCTTGTAAGATTTTATTTCACTAATCGTTTAGGTCTTTGGCCCCTCATTTTTTTACTGATACTTAAGATAAACTACTGTATTCTACTTTCGTCATTGTACATATCTCCTTGAGGGTAAAATGATTAATTTACATGAGATATGAATGCAAGGAAAGCTTATTGTTTACTGCACTTCCAAATAATAGGTAAGCTCAGTTGGAGTTACTGGAACTCGTGAATCTGTTAGTAACGCGGTTCAGTCCCTTTTGAAGGAAATTAAAGAGGTTTGATATTACAAGTGAAACAGTATCTTTTTTTTAATGATATTAACTGGGTATTTTTTTTACTCTGCCAAATTTGCTAACAACAAACCAAATTCACAGGCAACATCCAAACCAGTAGCAGTTGGTTTCGGCATATCAAAACCCGAGCATGTGAAGCAGGTGTGTCTCGTAAAGTACTTATTACTCCCTCTGTTTGTAAAAGCAGTTTTTATTTTGACTTTTGGTAGATTAATTTTCATAATTTGACTTTTGGTAGACAAGTCACTTATATTACATACTATATACAACAATCACTTGAATAACTTACTATATCAATGCAAAATGGATAGAGTATATTGCAATGACTTTTTTGGATATATTAGTCATTTATTGTATAAGTGGAAGTGTTTTGAAGAAAACGAAGAAGCATTATCAGATCCTTGGTTTAGGACTGAAGGCATAATGTGTTTACAGGTCGCGGCATGGGGAGCCGATGGAGTAATTGTTGGCAGCGCAATGGTTAGGATACTGGGCGAAGCCAAATCGCCCGAAGAAGGACTCAAAGAGCTGAAAGTCTTCGCGACATCCCTAAAATCTGCACTTTCATGATTTTACTGCACCGGATTGGTGGAATCGAGCCAGGTTCTATAGTTTGGTAATATATGTTTTTATATTGACTATTGCTGTGCCAATTTTTAAACCAAGATAACTGGGGTAAAAAAAGTACAGTAATTATTTTTACAGAGTATTATATATGGGTTATAACCTATGCACTCTGCTGTATTGTGCACAATAAAGAAACATTGATGCTTTGGTTAGATACTCCAAGAGCAACAGTATGGTGGTGGGAAATTCTCCTATCATTTGGTGGTCCATTGATAATTATCTCCATGATCTCCAAATTCAGATCTTCCAATTGCTTACATTTATTTGCCTAGCATAATAAATACTCCCTCCGTTCCAAAAAAGATTGCCACAATTTTACTTCTTTGATCAAATTGTGGCACCTTTTGACCATGAATTAAATATATTTTAAAATAATTAAATATTATAAAAATTTGGTCTTTCAAAACTACATTTTAAAATAAACCTAATTTTCCTAAATTTACATTATAACTAAATATTTTTTTTTCTATAATTTGTGGTCAAACTGTTGCACAGTTTGATTGAAAAAATTAAACTGTTGTAATCTTTTAGAGATGGAGGGAGTATATATTTTGGAATTCTATTTAAGAATTAAAAAAGAAAGGGTGATTATGATTATGCTAGGTGTCGCTCATTAAGTATTTGAGAATTTGTTATTCTTAATGCTGTACTCTCCATTCTGAAAGCATTAATGGAGTGATTTTAAATGGTGAGAACACAGAAGAGTGAGAGTTAATAATATATTTTGTGAGAGTTAATTATATATTTTGTGAGAGTTTGAGATACTAATGAGAAAGATTAAAGAGTTAATTTCATTTGAGTGAGAGTTTTGTAATAGTCGAAGAGTATTTGTTCCTTTTTTTATACGGAGTAGTTCATTTTAAATTTTTTGCAGCCGAAAGTTATTAACTTTGACCATTAATTAATTTAGATTTGTATCATATATTGATACCAGAATACTCTTATTAGGTTTATCTTAAAGACTTTTACAAAATTATACTCCTGTTTCGAATTAAGTTGCATGATTACTATTCACATGATCAAACTTAATTTACGTTTTCCCATTTTTGTTATTCATTAAGAAAAATAATAGTCATGCCAGTACTTCTTGTTTTGTAGAGCTTTCGATATATTTTTTTAATATGTAAAGTTTTTTTTAATTCTGCAACAATTCTTAATTAAATTGTACTGAAAATGACATCAATCAAATATTGTAAATCGAAATTGAAGATTTAAATTGGAACGAAGGGAAGATTTTATTTAATTAATATACTATGCAATTTTTATATATTTAAAAGTCAAATGTCAAATCTAGTTGGTCGTAAAAAAAATCAAAATAGATAAATATTTATTTTTTTTTGATACGTAGACAAATATTTATTGACAAAGAAGTAACTTAGTATTGTACGGATTATATTATATTTTGGAAATTTTTAGAGTTTTTGTTTGTCTTTTCTAAGAGAATGTTATCTCGTGATTCACAAGCATTCATGTTTGTGTTTCTTTTTTCTAGCGAGATATTTGAGATTAAGAGTTTTGAGTTTGTTTGTACCAAATTTGTATTTTGTATACAACCATATTAGGGGTACACTAAACATTTTATACAGTCAAAACAAATATTATACTAGCATTTTGTGTTTGTGTAAATTAACAAACAGAGACAAAATATCAATGCCATCTGTGGTGTACAATTTGAGTACAACCTTTTGGGTAAAAGTTGTTGTGTTTACCCCATCTTGTTAATAAGTACTCCATTAATTTGGATTTTGGAGGATACTTTTTCCACTTCTACTTTTTTTTGTATGTGTTCATTTGAGTAGGTATACCTATGGGTATGGTTGTCCTTTCGCGCCCAACATTTGTAGTCTTTTTTTTTTTTGAAAGCAAAAGAATTGCAACATTTGTAGTCATAATTACAACGGGAAACATAGAAATTATCCACTCACGTCTTACTGCACTACAAAACAAAGTCGCGAAGAAATAGGAACCAACCACTACTCACTACTTAACCACTATCAATCTAATTAAGGTAGTGGGCATGTTATTAAAAAATTCTAAAAATATGGAGGATCAAGTCTTCATTAGACCATATGGTATGGTGTGATGGATGATACCAATCACACCATCTCTTTCCTTAATTTTTCTCTTTCTCATCATAGCCCATCACACTGCAGGGTGTGGATTACGCCCATCATGGTATTAAATGAAAATAATCTAAAATATAACTATTACATAAATATTTCATTAAAATTTAAATTGAAAATTACATTGATATAATGCGGGAAAAGGAGAAATAAGAGCTACACAGTACGAAATTGAAAATAAAAATACAAGAACTTGATTGCGCACGGACAACGCTTCTTCCTCCGTCGGGGTCCACACTCGCTACGCAACCCGCCTTGTGGAGTCTTCATTGCGCACGGGTTCATTGCGTAGGGGACGCTCTCAACGGGCATCGGTCTGGCTATTTCCAGAACTTTTGATGAATTTTATAAATAATTGCGAAGCCACTTGAGAAATTGCAAATAGTTAGGATCTATAATATAATTTTTGATAATATTTAGAGAAATTTTGAAAGAAATTAGCTTGAGAGAGTATATCGAGAGAAGATGTGATTTTTAAAGGGGGGGTTTTAATAATAATTTTCAAAAAAAATATTAAAAACTAGCTGTGGTGACCGTGATGATCATCACCCCATCACGATCCCCCTGTAGGGGGCGGTCTCCCACACCGTGATGGTAGGTGATGTGGCATTACCTTGCCATCACGGCACTACCATAGTTTTCATACCGTGTGGTCTTATTCTCATGTCCCAACATGACCTATTGGTATTTAGTAGTATATAAGTACTTCAGCCATTACCAAATACTACCTCCGTCTAAAAAAATCATCACAATGCGTGGTGCAATATTTTATATCACTTTATAAATAAAATATCGTGAAATTAAAAAATAAAAATTATATGTTTTAAAACTAAATAAAAAGATCTATAAAATTAGAGGTGACATGACTTTATTATTTTACGAGTATCAAATATAATTGACAACAAAATAGACAAACAAAGTGAATAAATTTGACTTTATAAATAGTAGCTGTGAAGATAGTTTTTAGACGAAAAGAATATAGATCTAAAACATGTATTCTACTGATAAATTGATTAATGTTTTTTAAAATTGACCTAAAATGCCCATGTCTTTCTCGTTCATTTTAAAAAAAAGTAATTTTTTTAGCATATGAATAACAAATTAGGGGAATAGAATATAGATTTCATTTATTTACACATGACATATAAGAGTACGATTTAAAAAACAAATGTCAAACTACACAAAAGGATGAACCCAATCCATGAGAGCTCCTCAGAAGTCAGAACTAGCCGGACGATCAGCTAAGAGGGGGAAAATTAGACTTTAATTATAGATTAATGACATATAGTGAACCTACACCTAGTACTCATAAATGCCCTATGTTTAGAACAGTTGCCTTTTAGCACAGCTGCCTGGAGCTCGTGTCTCCCCTTAACACTATTTGTCTTGTCAATTGCACAATGACATTAGAGCATATATATGTCAAACTACACAAAAAGTTGGAATGCCCACCCCGAGCTCCCCACACCCTGACCGACAAGATTGTGAGGGGGAAAACCATGATATAATTTCAATCTGGTTTTTAGAGAGGTCTCCTCGTGCCCGGTGCACACAAGAAGCTATTACAAATAATAGAATTTCCACACTGTCACTGCTGAGATTCGACCCTATGATCAACGGGGCTTGACATCTTCTCTTTGAACCAGTTGAGCTACTCGTACGAGCAAATGTCAAACTACACAAGAATGCATGCATGGAGGCCAGGGAGTGAATGCCACTAATATTTGTTTGTTGTGTGGATGCTATTAATGGAGCAAGCATCATTAGGTAGATAGGTGGTGCGTGAAATTGATAGAATTTGATAAGATAATAAGACACTAAACCATTTTGTGAGATTGATAAGACCCCATCCAAACGACTCTCTAACCTAACCTTGCAAGGACGCAAACGTACTCCGTATAATGTATGGCGTGGATTGCATAATGCACGAGTGTCTACCACAATACACTCTTACTAGACCATCTCCAATGCATAAGATGTATTGTGGTAATACAAAATCTATTTTACCATACACATTTTTTACACATTAACTTTTTTACTCCGTATATTATTCAGTCCAACCATATATTTTACATAATACGTAGTACATTTTTATATTCTAATTTAACTTATGTATTCATAATAAATATTTAAATAATTATTAGGATATACTCCCTCCGTCCCATAAAACATTTCCTGTTTCAAAAATGGCACGCCTTTAAAATGAGTAATTTTAGTGTTATTTTTTAATTATGACTAATCTATTCTACACATCTCATCCTACTCTTTTAAGAATAAAGGGTAAAATTAGAAAATAACACCAAAATTACTCATTTTAAAGGCGTGTCATTTTTAAAACAGGAAATGTTTTATGGGACGGAGGGAGTATATATATATATATATATATATATATATATATATATATATATATATATATATATATATATAGATTTTGGTTCAAGTGAGAATGCGATCTTATGAAAGAAATAAGAATGAATCTGGTGTTTTAGATTGTGAGATCTAAGGGTCAAGATTGGATCAAAATTAGATGCACCAAAATGGTTTGAAAATGCATGATGTCGAAATGCACCAAAAACCTTTGAAAATGCACTATCTCAAAATCTGAGCGCAGGATGCAATCTGAGCCGCACGATGCATCAGATCCAAAGGCTAGATTTTATTTTTATTTCTTTCACCAAGGTGCATTCTCACCTGATCCTGCCCATATATATATATATATATATATATATATATATATATATATATATATATATATATATATATATATATATATATATATATATATATGGGCCGGTTCCTGTGAGAATGGATCTTGTGGAGAGAAATAAGAATAAATTTGAGGCTTAGGATTGAATGCATCGTGCGGCCATAAATTGATTGGGATGGGGTCCAACCGTGTGGGATATATTTGGGAAGTAATAATTGCAGAGCATTTAATTAGGGTCAAATTGGTTAAGAGGGGTAGACTCGTAATTTGAAATGCATAATAAATTTGGGAAATACCCACAATGTCGTACATCCCTTATTATTAGCTAGACACGTCACAAGCTAGGAGTATTATATAATATTGTTAATTTCATATCATTTAATATTGTATTGTGCATTATATTTTATTTATAATTATTTGTACGCAAGTCCGTTTTTGACAAATAATATGCCGTTGGAAATCTCTCGTTGAGATCTACCCAATGACACTAGTATTGAATATATTTAATCCATAATTTAACGCGAATGAAATTTGATGGTCGATATATGCACTTTGATTTGTCCCTTTAATTTTATTCAAATTTTATTCCATTAATTTTGATTCTTAAAGCGCACCATAACATGATTCATTATCTAAAGTAAAAATGCATCTTATATTCTCTGTAATGCATATCAAGGCTGTATATCATGCATTTTAAGCATGAACCATAAGTCCTTAGTGTTACACTGGATCCCATAATGTTTAACCAGAATGTACACAAATGCAATCTAAATGCGTCAAAAAATGATGGCAATGTCGTACCTGTGACACATAAATCAATGTCGAAAAGATTGAATTGAATAAGATACCACACCATAAAATATCAATTTTTAGTTTAGAAAAAATTTAGACTGTAAAACTAGAGTTATCAAAAATTTTATTCCATTCACGTTAGGGTTCTAATTTTATCAGTAATACGCGTAAGAGATGAACAAGAGCCCTACAAAAAGAGTTTTTTTGGTACACAACAAATAAAGATTAGAATAAAAGAAAATATTCATTAGAACAAAACCTAATAAACATAGAGACGAAAACTGTATAGTTTCTCCTCCCACGCATTGCATTTTAAGTGAAGAACAAACATGTGAACTTTAGCTACCAAGTAAATGCACAATAACAAAGCCATTATGCATTACACAACAGTAGTAATGCACCACGCAAAGTTGAGAAGCATCGGGGTCACCTTGAATACTAAACTAAACAAGAAATTAATACAATTCTCCTCTAATTAAAAATCCAAAACTCTAATACTTGGTCCGTCCCTGAGTGTTTGTCCACTTTTGACTTTTGAAACTGAGCACTTTGACTCATCAAATTCTCTCAATGTGTAAGCCTAAAAATAGTCATTTGTGATCTTGTTTGATTCGTCTTAACATATAGATTATTAATATATAATTTTTATAATTTTTTAATATACAAATTACAAGATAAAATGGATTAAAGAAGTGCATTGGATGGTGTACAAAAATAAAAGTGGACAAACACTCAGGGACGGAGGGAGTAAAAAATAGTAAACGACCTACAATTATGAACGTAAAAACAAATAATCCCGTTTTAGAATCTGGTTGATTCAAGCAAAACATGACAGAAATTTTAGAAGTTTCACTCTTCAATCTCGTGCATAAACTTACTCCACAACTCATTCATGTCACTGATAAATAATGCAGCAGCATATTTTGCCTTATCCTCAAGTACATCGGGGGTGTATATCCATCTATTTTCTTCTTATCTTCATAGCCTGATCCCTTAGTCCTGACATTTGTCTCTCGCTTCAAGGTTAATATGTGCAACATCTTGTTTAGGACGATTCTTTCAGCAAAATGTTTCTTAACCATCCACTTATATGGACTTGTGTAAGTTCCTGTTTTGACTTTTTGTTGATATTAGCAACTGGGCTTCAATCACCAACTCTTTATCATTCACAAGCAAACCAACCACATTTATAATGCATCATAGACACAAAAACAACAAAAGAATTTAGTGAATATCATTGCATTTATTACTACTATTTGTATCAACATTTAGAAGTTGTACCTCATGAGATAAAAAGCTAACCACACTATGCATATAGAGCATGAGACTATGCTCTGGAGAGATCCTTTAAAACAACTATGTAAATATGTGGCCTAAACCAAGATCCATTAAGGACAATATCTAAGAGGTAGCAATATCCAAGCGCTAAGATGCACTGCTAACACACAAAATGATCGAATGTGCACTCTGTGCTTAATATAATGCATTACCTTGATGCAATATGTAACTGCTAAAAATGCACTGCACACATTGAATAGGAATGTTCTAAATGTAAAACTTTTTAAGGGCAACACCCAAGAATTAGCAATATTTAATCCTTATGATGCACTACAGACATCTACTTGAGAGCTAGCATGTAAGACTATATAAAATGCACTACAAATATTGTTGTGAGGACTTGCATAGGAGGATTGAAAAATTGATATTAAGATTTAAATAAAATGCACTAAAAGAGTAATCCATGTTCGAAAAAGGATCTGGCTATCTGGGTGAACCAATATCTGTGTATAGTGGCATAATCAAAGCATAGCAATTTTTAAAAGGAAAGAATACACCATCAATTTAAGAGACTTAAGTGAAGAAGGAAGAAAGAATTATAAAATACCAATAATGAAGAAAAAATCTGACCATGATTAGAGGAAGAAGTCTATGAAGAAGAGGAACAAATTGAAAAAAATAAAATTCCAAAACGAAAAAAATGTGAACAGGATTAGAAGAAGATGTGTATCAAGAAGAAGATTGAAATTTTGATGATTATCAAAATGTTAAAACAAACCTGAATCTATATATACACGAGAATTGACTGATGAATAAGAATTAGAAATCCGAATCAATGGCAGTGTGAGTCCGATCGGAATAGAGCATACAGATTAATTGCAAAGAACTCGCCATTTCAATAAAGGAGAGAGTCAGAGAGAGAGAGAGAGAGAGAGAGAGAGAGAGAGAGAGAGAGAGAACATGGTTGATTCAATGGAGAGAAATCTGCAGAATTGATTTGATCGCATATGGAAAGATAGAGTGTGATATGTGAAAATACTTTTAAGCCCTTTAACGCTGGACCTAGTAAGACACAGATCCGACGTCCCATATTCATTCTCATTTCTTTCCTAAGATCTCATTCTCACCAGAACCAATATATATATATATATAAATGATAGGATAGGATATCCCCAAAAAAAGTCTGCAATTTTTTAAATAAAAAAAGGAATGAAATAAGCGAAAGAAGTTTTACACTATCTATAGGAAACTATACACTCTTGCTTTTCATCACTTGTTTGTTTATACTCTCCCTTGTCAAAAAATTGACATTAAATTGTATATTGTACTTCCTCCATCTTAAAAAGATGTTCTCATTTTGATTTTCAAGAAATTTAAGGGTGAAATATTTTTGTGTTGACTTTTCAAAAATATTGTTGATGTGATGTGTAAAATATTAGTAAAAAGGTATGATGTGATATTTAGGATTATAATTAGTAGGGGTAAAAGTGTTTGTTTTAATAGAAATGATAATGATTTTGTAGGAAAAATAAATAAAAAGAGAAGAGTTTTTTTGGAATGGAGGGAGTATAAATTTAACAATATGCCCTATGCACTAGATATGCTCTTAATTATACCACAAACTAGTGTTAATTAACCCCGTGCTTCGCATGGGCTCGTATATATTCTAAGTTTTTGATATTCTATAAATATAATTTTATTTATTTTAGTTTTTGAATAGTGACATAATATATGTTAGATGAATTTGTTTTAACTCGAAGATATATATACTTTTTCAAATATTATACTTTAAAAGTATTCTATAAATATTATACTTTAAATATAGATGTACATGCACTAAAAATTGGTAGAATGTATATTGGTATATTTATTTAAAAACAATATATATATATATATATATATATATATATATATATATATATATATGTATGTATGTATGTGTGTATATATATATATATATATATATATATGTATGTATGTGTATATATACATATATATATATGTATGTATGTGTGTGTGTGTGTGTATATATATATATATATATATATATATATATATATATATATATATATATATATATATATATATATATATATAGGATGGTACACCTACTCCCTAAGATAAGATAATGTATCTTAGTTAAAGAGATTTAATGCTTAAATGTTTCAAGATTCACATTTAAGCTATGGATCTTCTTATACTTTCATGGACTTTCATGTGTATATTTTCTAGTTTGAAAAAGAGCTACTTTTAGGCTACAAATACACTAAGGTCACTAAGGTCCATAAGATAGACATGAATTTTAGATCCACGAAAAATTTTTTCTTAAAAAAAGTTAAATTTCATATGCTAAAATTTTTTCGTAAAATAAATACTCCCTCCATCCCCCGATATTTTTCCACTTTCATTTTGGCTTACAAACCAATGTGATGAGTAAAATGACACAATTGCCCTTGAACAAACTGCTGATTTCCTTTGCCACCCCAGCGTCATTCAATCGCCCTAACCTATTTCTTCTACCCACCCTCCTGATATCCTCCACTATTGATATGATGCCGTCGCTAATCTCAAAATCAGGAAACTAACACTAGCTAGCAAAAAAACATGGATTAGGCTTAGACAAAAGAAACCAGACGAAGGAGAAAACAAATGCTCTGATTTCCGATCTAGAAATTAGATCAGATTTCAAAAACAAACATTACGTATAGATTTCAAAATGGATTAAAACCCCAAATTTCATAACAAAAGCAAGATCTGTTGGGATTTTAAGGTACCGAAAAATATTGTGAACACCAGAAAAATGAGAGAACAAACACAAGAAGAATATATGAGAGAAAAATTATATTTCCACTTTTCAGGATAATATACAAAAAACTCTCCCCTGTTTACAAGGCTAAATTACAGACACTCATAAACAGATATTTCCACATCCTATCCCCGGCTGTATTTTTCCGAGTAACTAAAACCAGTTACTCCCTACACTCACCCACACTCACCAAGACCCCTTGGATTTTCCCGGTGGTATTCTTGTGTAGAATTCCTCCAATGCTTCTCTCTCTACATTGGTGGTGTGTAAAACCCACACACATGTATACCTTAGTCTCACTCTTTTTAAAGCAACCCAAGCCTTTCAAAAGTTGGACTCACCGCATGTGTAATTGCCTAGAAGGTGCAATCCATTTGTTGATTTGCACCAATCCAAAGAGATAGAAACAAAACCAAAAACAACTTTTCACATGCATGTTGTACGTCCAATGCATGTCACTTTTCTTTTTCTTTTTTATTTCTTTTTCTTATTTTTCTTTCTTTTGAATATTTAATCAAATTCCCAACAAGATCAAGAAACAAAAAACTTGACATCACGATCCAGATACAAATCTTGAGAAGAGATCTAACGGCAGAAGACATCCAGCTCCAATTCACCGTCAAAGACATCCGACCACCACCCTACTCCAGTAGTCCTTCGAAGACATCTCGCTACGAAAACATTGATACTCCATATGTTGGAGAAGACATCCACTTCAGGAACGATGAGACACAGAGAGATGAATGGGGAGAGAAGTGAGAGAAGAGGCAAGAAGGGATTATGTCTGTTACGGATAAGGAGAAGAGTGTGAATGAGAAAGGGAGTAAATAAGGGCATAATTGACTTTCCATATTATTTTTCTTACCTTAATAGGAAAGTAGACAAATACTGAGGGACAACCCAAAAAGGTGTTGGGATATTTGATTAAATAATCAAAAGAAAAAAAATAAGAAAGAGGACAAAAAAGATAAAAAAGAAGAAGATACGGATGGTGGATGCATGCATCCATCATGCATGCATGTGAAGTTGTACACATGTGATGTTAAGGGCCCATTTATCATCTTCCTCTTGGATGGAAAGCACTCCGTATATTATTTGGGTTTTAGAGTAGCTTTTGTGTGGGTGGGTTTTTCACACACGGCTAAGAGAGAGAAGGAGGGTTAAGAGAGAGGTGCTACACAAGATATCATTAATATTGTGTGAGTGAGTGTAGGGAGTAACTATTATTTAGTTACTCAAAAAATACATCTAGGTGTAGGGTGTGAAAAGCCCGTTTATAAGTGTCTGGTATTTAGCGCTTGTAAATAACGAGAGTTTTTGTGTATCGTTCTGAAATAGTGAAGATATAATTTTTCTCTCATATTTTCTTCTTGTGTAGTGTGTTTATTTATTTTTCACGTTCTTGATTTTTTAAGATTCTTACACGCTTAAAATCCCAACAATTGGTATCAGATCCAAGTTACAGTTGGGGCGGCCGGAGGGATTTCTAAGCGGTAAGAGAAGAAAATCGAAGAACTTGAAAAATGACATAAGTAAAAAGTTCAAATGTTTCTGTCGAACCTTTCGATGGACGTGGCGATTTTACTCTATGAAAAAACGAGTAAAAGGTGTTCTTACTCGGGAAGGGACAATCAAAGATTTGAAGGTGAAGGTTCAGAGGACAAAAAAAAATGACGGATGGTGAGTGGGCCAAACATCGAAAGAATGACAAACCAGAAAAATTGTCGGAAGAAGAGTGGGAGGATTTGAAGGACATGGCAACAAGTACAATATGCATATGCCTTGCAAATAATACTCTTCGGGAGGTTCTCGGTTTGACGGACCCGGTGGATATTTGGACAAGCTGGAGAGCCGGTACAAGTCGAAATCGTTGACAAGTAGGCTATACTTGAAGAAACGATTGTTTGGTCTCCAAATGGCGGAGGAAGCTAACTTTAATGGAAACTTGGATGAATTCAACAAGATTACAATAGAGTTAGAATCCATTGATGTGAAGATTGAAGAGGAGGACAAGGCGCTGTCTTTGTTGGCTTCATTGCCTTCATCTTTTGACAACATCGTGACCACGCTCTTGTTTGGAAAAGAGACCTTAAAATTTGATGAAATAGTTGCTGCATTGTTGATGAACAAGACTCGCCAGGGTGGCAACGGGGTATCAAATGACGGCCAAGCTTTGGTAGCAAAAGGAGTTGGTCGGGAACGAGGACGTTCTAAAGAGAGGGGCGGTGTGTCCCAATGCTTCAAATCGAGTAGTAAAAGCTTTCAGTGCGTGTTACTCCTGCGATGAAGATGGTCATTTCAAAAGGGATTGTCTAAAGAGAAGGAAGGAAAAGAAGGACGGGAAAACACCCGTGACTATAGTTGCTGAAAGTTTGAATCAAGCAAGTGAAGAAGACTTGTTTTTGGAAAACACAAAGAGTCTAGGTAAATCGGATTGGATATTAGATTCAGGTTGTTCGTTTTACATGTGTTCGATCAGTTAAGGAACAATTTCATAGGTAACAAACTTGTGATGGGGGTGCTGCGAAGACGACAAATGGTGCACGGAGCAAGATTGCAGGGGTGGGAAGAGTGCAAGTTCATATGTTTGATGGCGTGGTGAGAACATTAACGGGAGTGAAACATGTACCGGGTCTAAAAAGAAATTTGATTTCATTGGGGGCTTTAGATTCAAAAGGCTACCAAATTTTTGCTCAAGGTGGAGTGTTAAAAATTTCTAGGGGAGCAATGGTGGTAGAAAAAGGAGTTTTGTCAAAGGGCTTGTATAAACTTATTGAAAAACATTTGACACGGAAGCTGTTAGAAGGAAAAATTACAAGTGCAACGAGCGGAGCATTTGCATGGAAGAAGCGGGTGACGTTTGAAGCTTCTCAGGTTGGTGGAGACTGTGATGACCTTGCCGGAGCGAGCGGGGTGGAGCCGGACCATGGTTTGATTAATTAATCAAGGTGGAGTTTGTTGGGATATTTGATTAAATAATCAAAAGAAAGAAAAATAAGAAAGAGGACAAAGAAGATAAAAAAGAATAAGATATGGATGGTGGATGCATGTAAAGTTTTATACATGTGATGTTAAGGGCCCATTTATGATCTTCCTCTTGGATGGAAAGCACTCCATATATAATTTGGGTTTTAGAGTAGCTTTTGTGTGGGTGGGTTTTTCACACACGGCTAAGAAAGAGGAGGGTTAAGAGAGAGGTGCTACACAAAATATCACCAAAATTGTGTGAGTGAGTGTAGGGAATAACTATTATTTAGTTACTCAAAAAATACATCTAGGTCTAGGGTTTGAAAAATCCGTTTATAAGTGTCTAGTATTTAGCACTTGTAAACAGAAATACTTCGTAGTTTTTTGTGTATCACAGTCCAACCTTCCTTGAATTCTTTCGTGTCGACACTTCCCAACTGTAGAAACCTTACAGGTCAGGTTCCCAAGAGACGAACTTATGGAGATTGGGCACCAGTAAGGAAAGTCAAGTAATATATGACCGGTGGACTACCTGAAGTATACCAGTCAAGTTTTAATCATTTGACCAACATGCCCCCATTGTCGTTTCAGCTTCCCGTTCCGGAATTTCCATCTTGACCGCCGGTCAAGTATTTTAAGGCTCGTCCCCGGATCAGAACTGGGTGGAATACACCCATCAGATTATATAGAGTAGTATAGATCAGCAAATCTTATTTGAAATATTTACACTAAATAACACTAAAACTTAAGTAATTGTCTAATAATGCAAACCACATATTTTTTAATATGGATAATAATGGCTTTCAACCAATACAAATGTATTCAAACGAAGACAATTTAATTTTTTACTACGCATTATCCATTGCCGTCCTAATTTCAAGGAATGGAGGTGCGTGTACGGATGACACTTCTTGGCCTGGCTTCTAGCTTAGGAATTTTTAAACTAGCGTTGCCGTGAAAACAAACATCGTTATCTATGTCGGAATGGAATAATCGGATACCATTTCTAGTGTACTTTAGTCCGTACGCATTTTGACAAAGGTAAGAAAAATTCATTTTAGAGAACACTAATGTCGAATTTCTATTATAAATTTATTAATAATGTTGATTTCTAATGAAAGGAATTGTGGTTCTAAATTTAAAGATAGATTAAATTTCAGGAATTGTTTCTTTGTGATTTAAAATTTTTCATGTTTACAAATTAGTTCTTCTTCCATCCCAAACTAATTTTTTTAGTTATTAGAGTAAATTCCATATTTGGTCCTTTATAACAGGGGGTTTCCATATTTAGTCATCCATTATCAAATATTACCCACGTAGTCCTTTTTTAAGGGTACCTTTCCACAAATGGTCCTTTTTTGATCTTCTGTCGTGTTGGTGTTAATTTAAAGGCTAAAAGTATAATTTGGCGTCAACATTATGTCTAGTGACGTGTTCTGATATTGGTTAAGCAGATAACACAAAAATAATGACTATGATTATGAGCTAGGATTCTGATGAAAGATCACATTTGTAGACTATAGTTCTCGTAAAAAGCGACTGTAATTCACAAACGATGCAAATGGAACAGCCTTTGGAATTGTGTATGACAAAAAAAAATATTATCATTCTGAAATTACACTTTTAGCCCTCAAATTAGCACCAACATGATAGAAGATCAAAAAAAGGACTATTTGTAGAAAGGTACCCATAAAAGAAGGACCACTTGAGTAATATTTGATAATAGAAGACTAAATAGGGAAACCTCCCTGTTATAAAGGACCTATTATAAAATTTACTCTAGTTATTATAATGGATTCTAGATAACTTATATTTGTATACATATTTTTCTTTGATTATTTAATAAAATAAAATATTCTTATTACCTATTTTTAGAATAAGTCTTTTGAACGGTGTAATTAAACATTTTATTTCTACATATACGTATTTATTAGGAAAATTATTCTAAAAGTGATGAGATTTTAGACTTACTTCCAATGAGAAGAATACATTGCGACGGAGGGAGTACACTAAACCAACTAGTAATATTTTGTTTTAGCTTTTTTAAAAAATTATGCGACGACATAACTTAATTTTTTTATATGTAAAATGAATATACGCTATTAAAAATTATCCAAAATACAATAACCTATTAAAATGGATATTCGAGATAAGATTATTGCCAAACAAAGACTCAATCCACTTCAAAAAAAACGCGAAATTGGCACGGCTTTTTGGCACGGACTGTAGTTTAAGTTTCCCGTGACTAAGGTATTAGGCACGGACTTTGGCACGGACACGAAACGCTGCCAATTTCGAAGCTCCAAACCGTATGGCACGAAAATCCAGTCCGTGCCAAATATAGAGACGGCGTCACTCGTGACAAAATCGTTCCAAATTGACGGTTGTAAGAAAAACGTTAAAGATATTAGGCACGGATATTTCCGTGTCAAAATTGTGTTCTTACAAATATAACATAAGTCACGGATATATCCGTGCCTTTATTTTGAAAATTTTCAAAATATTCAAAAATTTTCAAAAAAAATCAAATACACGGGGAGATTAAATTCCGAAATTCAAATATTTTGCCACGGACATATCCGTGCCATGGAAATTAAAAAATAAAAAAAATATTTTTTGTCACAGATTTATCCGTGCCTTAGATTTCAAAAAATTAAAAAAAACAATTTTGAAAATAAAAAATTAATAATACATAACAGGCCATAATTCAAATACAGAATAAATCACTCACAGCATAATAATGTAGATTAATAAAAGTAATATCCATAATGAAAGTAATGTCTAGCATCCAAACGAAATCATCACATACAAATGTTAATGATTAATAATTACAGATCTATTTTCATTGTTTAGAAAACTGTTAACACCACAGTTATTTGAATTGTGTCCTATCGGTTGAACGTTTGGCAGTTGGGGGAGGACCGTAGGTTGTTGAAAAACAGGCATGGGAGAAGGCAAAACCCGCGGGAATTAAAGGTGCTCCTCATGACTTTGTTTGTGTCCGCCGACAAAACCTCAGGCAACCATGTGTAATAAAGCTATAAATGTAATAAAAAATAAATCAGTATTGTGTTTAGGAAAGCTTGTTGGCTGGAAAAAAATTAAAAAAAATTAAAAAATCATACAAATAATATATGAGATAATAAAAAACAAAAAATTACCCCTTCAATTCGGCCTTAGTGATCAAGCGCGGAAGATCCCCGTACGGCACCGCACTAGCCTCCATTGAAACTCCGTCTCCTCCTTCGCCGCCTCCTCCGCCCTCGACCTCGACCTCAGCCTCCAAGTCGCCACCGGCATTAAATATGGACTGCGGGGTAGTGGTAGATGTCGATTCCGGTGGTGCTCGAGTGTGAGAACGCCGAAAGCTTCCCCTATCGCGAATGCTACCGCGGAAGGAAGTGCTCCTTGCTGAAGACATTGAAAGGAGAAGGGGTTATGAGGGAGGAGGGCGGAGGAGGGATGGCGACGAAGAAAGAGATTGGAGGAGTAAAGTGGTTAATGAAAAAAACGAGAAAAAACATGTAAGGGGTGTTAATATAATTAAACCGTAGGCACGAACGTAAGCACGTCCCCAACCGTGCCTATACCGTGCAGTAAATATCGGATTCTTGGTTAATGGTGTAGGCACGGCCGTTGTCGTGCCAAATTTCAATATCTCTGCTTGTGCCAGGCTTTTTTTGTGAGATCCATTCTAGGCACTGCTTTTTCCGTGCCTAATAGAGGGCATTAAACACGACAGTTTTTGGTAATTGCATAGGCACGGCCCTGTCCGTGCCAAACAAAATGAACTCTTCGTTTGTAGGGGTTCATTAATATCATGTCATAAAACGAATTTATTGGGCTTGTATGTAGGCACGGAGGTTTCCGTGCCAAACTAAATGCCTCTGCAAGTGTGCCAGGCTTTTGTCTAGGATCGAAATTAGGCACGGCTATTTCCATGACAAAACAGTCTTGTCCTTTTCGATTTTGAATTTTATGAGAAAGGTAGGGAATTGGAACAACTAAATCTGTGCCTATTGGTTAGAATAAACGCCGTCCGGAAACACCGTTAACGTCTTAACGTTTACGCTATTGGCACGACATTTGGCACGGAAAAATGCTAAGCCAAATTGAAACGCAAATAGACACACGCCATGTGGCTACTTTCTTTTTTTCGGCGTAGTCACGGAATATCCGTGCCTAATATTCCGTGCCAATTCCGGAAGTTTTTTGTAGTGATCGTTATTAAAAATTGTCCAAAATACAATAACCTATTAAAATGGATATTCAAGATAAGATTATTGCCAAACAAAAACTCAATCGTTAATTATTTCTTGAAAAACAACGAATTAATTAGAGGCCCTTAAGGGACATGAACCTCAATCATTATTGTGAAAACAAATTTCAACGATTTTGAAGAATCCTTGTCCCTTCTGTCCGTACAAGGCGTACAGCCGTACCTATGAAAGAGAAATGAATAAATGACGGAGCAGTAAATATTACGGAGTAAAAAAATGTGTATGAGACATGTAGTGACGACTGTAGTGTGGGTGAATTTCAACCATATTCGA